AAGTTCCGAAAAATCTGCTTTACTTTGCACATCACTGGCTTGGGACACTTAAGTACAAAGCGTATACAGTGATGATCAGACATAAGGTTGCGGTGTATGACAATGTCCTCTATGACGCAGTCATGGATAGAATTAATGTCTGTAGAGGATTGTCCCTGTAGATTATCCTCATTCCTGGTCATGACAAGGTCCAAAGTGTGACCCATGTTATGGGTAGCATCATGGACGTGTTGAGACAGGTTTGCTGATTCTATGATGGAAAGGAACTGGGCTACCTCAGACTTTGAAGGCATATCGACATGGATGTTAAAGTCTCCTAGGAGAAGAACTCGTCCAGAATAGCCGTGATATCTCAGCAGTAAGATCATCAAGTTCTTGAAGAAAGTCTGCAGTACGAAACCGATTTCGTGAAGAAGGTGGGGGTCGATAAACTACCAGGAAATGAATCGAACCTGCATTATTAACAACGTACAAAGAACATACAAATAATGCATTATTCAAACGTTGTAATGGAACCCTATGAATCCAGGAATAAAATAACTTACATTTTAAAAAAATACACATATTTTCCTGATATCTTATATTTTTGGTTAATAGAAAGAAAATTATTTTAATCAAGTAATTTGCATTCCATACTCTCGTATGCCCCATACGAATTGAAGTGTTGTGACATTTCCTTTAAGAGTGAGCTTCCGCTGTTACACCTTCGAAACAGGACAAATAACGAATATTTCCCTCGATAAAAAGTTTTGATTCACTTTCGAGCAACATTACCAAACGGGAGTACCGGTACAAAGAGAAATAAATAGACGGAATTAAGGAAATAAGGAAGATTCATTTCACAATACAATTATAGAAATTACATTAATACCCTTATTTTTATCGAAAGTGGAGTAAAGAGCATCACCAATATGTTGTGTAATCATTTTTAAAAAACACAGCAAAAACTGAAAATATAAAATTTAAACCTTTTACTTGGGGAAATTTTATCAACGTTTCATGTTACCAATTTTGCCGCGTTTTAAGAAAAAAGGCCTGTATTAGTATACCAAACAAGAAAGGTTAGAGCAAGGTTTGAATCGTATTTAATATACCCTACATAAATAGTAATGTTTTATTTTCGGCACTTACGGTGACAAACAAAACTAAATTAGAAAAAAAAAAAACACGCCGACGTGCACCGAGTTCTGTAAAAGGTAAAAAGGCAGTATAATATTTTTGGGAAAGCAAATGTTTCCATAAAAAACAAAACAAAATATAAAAAAGTCAATCCAAAATAGAAACACGTGGTATTATTATCATTGACATTTTTAATATTATTTTTATCTTAAAAACGAAATCAATATAGAATTTTTTTTCCTTCAATAATCCTTTATATATTAAAAAAAAAAAAAAAAAAAAAAAGAAAAGGAAAACAAGGAAGAAAGAAAATTGAAAGAATACAAAAACGAAAAGAAATGACGATGAACGTGTGCTTCGTTGATATGCCCTGACAACATATTTAAACTGTATACATACTTTTCAAACAAGAATGTTATTGAGAACTATAAGCTTATCTGAGGCTTGCCTGACATAGCATCAAATAATGTATGCATACTGGATTATAAATATATAGTTCATTCAGATCATGAACAACACGTAAATGGAATAACTCGTCGTCGCCAGGATAGAAATGTCCAAATAAATAGTAAACCGGTCTACCGCTTCCGGCTATATTTCGTCAAAAATATATACAGGGGTAAAGGTGAGAGTTGGAATTGGGTTTTACGTTAGGTTTAGGGTTAGGGTTAGGGTGAGATATATTGTTTGGTCTATAGTTGAAGTTAGGGAGAGGGTTAGGGTTAGATATATTGTTTGGTGTATAGTTGAAGTTATGATTAGGGTTAGATATTTTGTTTGGTATAGTGTTGAAGTTAGGGTTAGGGTTAGATATATTGTTTGGTCTATAGTTAAAGTTAGGGTTAGGGTTAGATATACTGTTTGGTATAGAGTTGAAGTTAGGTGATGTAATAGTGCAGGAGATTGATCTCGGAACAGTACTGCCGCCAGAGCAATTTTGTATAACAGGACCAGGGCAGCTGCGTGGTATGGTAACATACACAAGTCAGATAAAAAGAAGTTGAAAATTATACAGAACAAAATGGGGATATTCATCAACTGTTCTGGTCCAAGAACTCATTATCTTTGTGCAGCGAACTTTCTAAAGCTGGCTTTCTTGAAGTCAACCAAAGATCAAAACAACTCGTATTGCATCACGTGCATAAAGTATACTAGGTCGAATCATTATATTCGAACCAAAAACTACGATCTTGTTACTGACATGATGATAATACAAGAAATAGCCCATTCCACCTTAACTTACCAGAAAGAGTAGGTAGGATTGGAAATTCGTTTTTATTTCTACGTTGCCATAAAACATTGTAATTCCCTTCCTGATATATATAAAGGATATAAAAATTATAACACTTTGCTCAGGGAATTAAAGAAATATTTGAGAGACAGTGGAAAGAAGCGAATGACATATTATATGATTGAAATAGCCTGAATACAGAAAACTTTTCTTTTGTCTGCCGGTTCATACTTTTTAAATATGTATATACTTATGTTTTTGTACGTTATAGAAATTCAACATATTCATCATTTTCCTCTTCTTCTCTTCCTCCTCTTCCTCTTCTTTTTCTTCTTCTTCTCCTCTGAAAACCTCTGAAATGGACCCAAATGGCGTATCGCGCTTTTTCTGAAATGACCCTTTTTTTAAAGAAAACTTAGAAACGTCTGAACCTGAAAACCCTTTATTTTGTTTTTGTGCGATCAGTGCTTGAGAAACACCCCCTTTTTCAGTAAAACGTCGACGCCGCGCCGTATAGCCGAAAAGACACCCTTTCGAAACTTTTTCTGGACGCGGGTGCGTATACCAGTCATGTTGGGAGTGACCCAAGCAAGGGTGTAGATTTGTATCCGTGGTTGGGGGGGGGGGGGGGATGATAGGTGCCAAAATATTTTCGGCGATGAATCAAAGCAACCAAGAGGTAGAAGCGTGTGGCGGGTTACACCCCCTCCCTAAGCGCGTAGCCAGGATTTCATTTGAAGGGGCGGTAGTGAGCGCGCGAAGCGCGCTCCCTAGGGGATTGTGTACAGGGAGGAGGAGTTTCCCCCTATAGCTCCCCCGCGAAGCGCGGAAACTTTGACGTTTCATTAAATTATTAGAGAAAGAAGACGATTCGTTGGACCGTTCTCGACTCTTAATCCTTGTTGGAATTAAGTTCCCCTTCCTCCGCGCGTAGCGCGGAAGCTCTGACGTTTCATAAGTTTATTAAAGAAAGAAGACGATTCGATATACCATTATCGACTCTTAAAGTCAAATAGAAGTCAGCTCTCATGGGGAATTCGACACCGTTCGGGTGTTTACCCAATAACATATGTTGTCAATCACCAGGGTTAGCCTTCAGTTTGATGACCATTAGATCTTATGTAATGCTTCGCTTTTCCTTCACCGAAGCTCTCCGAGCGATTAGGGGGAAATTTTTGACTGGCCAACGGGTTTGCTTTGTGCAGATTTGTACTCCCATTAATGGTATTTCCACCAAGTCTGGTGTCAGCGAATTATGGCCTTCTACACATAGAAACTGCCGATCCAGTCCCTTTAATCCTTGTCTGAATCAGTTCCCCCCCCCCCCCCCGCGAAGCACGGAAGTTCTAGCGTTTCATTAGATTATTAAAGAAAGAAAACGATTCGTTGTACCATTCTCGACTCTTAATCCTTGTCTGAATCAGTCCCCCCCCCCCCCCCGCGAAGCGCGGAAGTTCTAACGTTTCATTAGATTATTAAAGAAAGAAAACGATTCGTTGTACCATTCTCGACTCTTAATCCTTGTCTGAATCAGTTCCCCCCCCCCCCCCCCCAGCGAAGCGCGGAAGTTCTAACGTTTCATTAGATTATTAGAGAAAGAAAACGATTCGTTGTACCATTCTCGACTCTTAATCCTTATCTGAATCAGTTCCCCCCCCCCCCCCCAGCGAAGCGCGGAAGTTCTAACGTTTCATTAGATTATTAGAGAAAGAAAACGATTCGTTGTACCATTCTCGACTCTAAATCCTTGTATGAATTCAGTTTCCCCGCTCCCGCGCGAAGCGCGGAAGCTTTCTCCTTGTCTCCGATCTCATCACGAATTCGTCACAGAGTTCATCTATGTTTACACTGTCCAGGATTGTTTGATGTGCATTGCAGATTGCTACTTTTGCGCTTCGCGCTTAACATTTTAGCTCTTTGCTTTTTAACGCTGCGTCTTTGCATTTGGCGCACTGCATTTCTATGATGCTGTTGATTGAACAAATTGAATAAATTCATCAATTCCTGATGAATCCGTATGAGTGAGAATTCAATTTATTCTTGTCTCATATGTGGTTGTCTCATTTACTTCGTATATTATGTATGTATTATGAAAATGAGATAGCAAAATGTGTATATTGATGGTCATCTTGCGAGTAATAACCATTTACGACTCTCATCGGGCTCTCATCATTACTTTTTCTCTTCATTTTTAATTTTTTTTTATGGTGAATTACTGGGGGGGATGATTGTACAGGCCATCCCCCCCCCCACCTAAAATATTTGGGGATATATCTCCCCCCCCCCCCCCGGGATCGACACCCATGGAGTGACCCCCTTGGAATTAGGGGGCCGGGTATTCATAATTATAGAGAAGTACCTATTGGGGAAGTGGATCGATAGATAAGAGTTTATCTTCAAATATTTTCTCCTAAGTATGTAGAGCTGAGCATAATTTTGGTTCCACCCCCTCACGGGCCCCTCACCCCCTCGACCATTTTCTCACATGACTTTGCAAATTTGGTAATTATTATTTATTATTATTATCGCAGAATTTAGCCCCGCCCTTTATTCTGTCTGTAATTCATCCAGGCCATGCCACTGCACAGCTGCGCTGCATGCACTCATATCATCACTGTATACTGCTATTAAAAATGCTTGTGGCATAATTATTGATCAACGAACGAACGTACACAAGCAGCAGTGCCCAGGCCCAGCGAGTGTAACCATATTTTGACCTCCAATTTTCGAAAGGATACAAGCTACTAGGAGGAAGCATTGTTTGATATATCTTTGATAAAGTAGGTATTCTACCATGTGATTAGATAATATATTTGATGATTGTAGTTATATTTGTCACGGATCGAGATCATCAACACAGCCTCTGCTTTCGACCTGGCCTGGTATCGCGCGCTGGTACATAAGCACGGCCAATGGCAGGCAGGGATGGCGGCTCGCGCTCGTTGTTTGTGATGACAGCCTGTATACAAGGCTGTGTACTGCTGTGTAGATACATGGGGGTTGGGTGTCCGGACACTGGTTGCCATACACATTTCTCATTTGCCTTCATATTTAGTGGAACAATTCACCAAATAAATAGCAGTGCACTGACCATCATGAATATTTGCCTGTATGATAATTCTCAGTAGATTTAAGAAATATTACTTGTAGTTGTAAGTTAGAATAGTAATACAAGTTGTAAACGTAAACCCCTTCAAAATCAAGTTGCTTTCGGATACTTTATAACATTACTAGGCCTACTACTTACTAGGCCTACTACTACTAGTACTACTGGATGTAGATGATGGATCTACATGTACACCACTAACTCCACAGAGCTCCGGTGCCAAGGCGTCTGTACATGTAGCTGTCCATTTTACACATGTACTGGAAATTACAGTGGTCGATGCAACACAATCATGATGTACAGTACCTAGGCTAATGTACAGTACCTAAAGCTATGGTCACAAATCAGAGCAGCGACCGACCGATCAGTAGCCTGCTCGGTCGCTGCTGGAATTAGGCATCGCCCAGCGATTAGGTCGGTGCCCGGGCGGCGACCGCCCAGGCACCGAGCGTTTTGGCGGTGAGTAAAAAGTGAGCAGGCGCCGCCCAAATTTTAACTCCGCACTAAAACTTCAGCGGCGACCGAGCGATGCCCTAAAAACGAGCGGTGCCTGGGCGACCGCCGCTCGGTGGCCGGGCAGCCGCCGGGCAGAATTGGTTAAAAACTCGCCGCTCGGCCGCCGAGCAGGCTACTTTTGGGTAATGTGACCATAGCATAATGTACATGTACTACATGGACAATTATGAATACAACTCTATCTATGCCGTAATGGCTGTTCTTTTCTTTTTCTTTTTTTTTAGTTGTTTAGCAGGACCGGTCAGGTGGGGGTGGTTTAGTGTATAAGGGAGCAAATTAATTAAGCGTAGTCTTGTGTCCTTTTTTTCACTCATAAAATAAACATTCCCATAATATCATAATCAATCGTTATGATATTGATTTGTTCTTTATATACAGCATGGCTGACGAACAGCAGGAACAACAACCATCGGAACAACCGGCTCAAGAATCCTCCCCACCGGCCTCTATAGACACAGCCCCAGCAGCAGAGGGCGCCGCAGCTCCTACTGAACCTACAGCAGAGCCTGCCGCCACGGCAACTTCCCCAGCAGAACCTGAACCCGAAGCGCAAGGAACCGAAGCGAAAGCACCCCCTCTCCAGGCCGAGATGGAGAAGTTCCGAGGGCTTGGGAAGACAGCGTTTGTGGCAGGATACACAGGAGAGTGCGGGAAAGCCCTAGTCCAAGAGCTGGCCAGGACCAAGATCTTCAGTAAGGTCTTGCTGATTGGACGACGGGAGGTCCCCCTTGAAGGGGATGTATACAAGGATTTTGCTGCAGTAAGTATTTAGCCACTAGACTAATAGTTTCTTTTACAAGCTTAAAGATAATGTTGGGTTCTGGTCATGCGATTGCATTGTGAAAGAAACGTGAATGGATCAAAAAAGGCTTATCATCTAGCAAAAGTATTGGTGTGTACTGCAAGGTTCTGGCATAAGTTCATCAAAATTTGACCAAGTCTTGGTATATGGGACTATACAAGCATGTAGCATTAAAATCTGTCTTAATTTTTTTTTATGCTGTTACATGCCATATTTAGAATATTAAGGCATTTGAAGAGCCTTGCTTTTCAGGGAACATTTTTTATCTGATGTTCTTTCACACTTGCATAATAACAATGATAACGCTCACAAATTATTGTTTACCTATTCCCAATACTCCACCATCTCTTTAACAGCAAACAAGAAGAAACCATTTTTCTCTTTTGATGGTGATAATGTAGACGATGGTGATGAAGATGAATGATTATGGTGATAATGGTGATGATGGTGATGATGAGAATGATGATCATGTTGCCTAAAAGCTGATGCAGTTGGTGCTGGTGGTGGTGATGGTAATGGACAGTGATTTGGATACCGGTATATGAAAATCTGTAACGAGCTGTACGAGCACCTCTAAAAAATGCACTGTAGTGTAGTTTTTTTTCTTCATAGGGAAGGGGGATGTTTAAAAAAACATGTCCGGATTCCCACTCCCCCTGCACTATTACGACTGATGATGCTGATGATGAGGAGGATGATGATGATAGTGATGTTGATAATGAGGATAATGATGATAGTGATGTTGATAATGAGGATGATGATAGTGATGTTGATAATGAGGATGATGATGATAGTGATGTTGATAACGAGGATGAGGATGATGATGATAGTGATGTTGATAACGAGGATGAAGATGATGATGATAGTGATGTTGATAATGAGGATGAGGATGATGATGATAGTGATGTTGATAATGAGGATGATAATAGTGATGTTGATAATGAGGATGATGATGATAGTGATGTTGATAACGAGGATGAGGATGATGATGATAGTGATGTTGATAACGAGGATGAGGATGATGATGATAGTGATGTTGATAACGAGGATGAGGATGATGATGATAGTGATGTTGATAACGAGGATGAGGATGATGATGATAGTGATGTTGATAACGAGGATGAAGATGATGATGATAGTGATGTTGATAATGAGGATGAGGATGATGATGATAGTGATGTTGATAATGAGGATGATGATAGTGATGTTGATAATGAGGATGATGATGATAGTGATGTTGATAACGAGGATGAGGATGATGATGATAGTGATGTTGATAGTGAGGATGAGGATGATGATGATAGTGATGTTGATAATGAGGATGAGGATGATGATGATAGTGATGTTGATAGTGAGGATGAGGATGATGATGATAGTGATATTGATAGTGAGGATGAGGATGATGATGATAGTGATGTTGATAATGAGGATGAGGATGATGATGATAGTGATGTTGATAGTGAGGATGAGGATGATGATGATAGTGATGTTGATAACGAGGATGAGGATGATGATGATAGTGATGTTGATAGTGAGGATGAGGATGATGATGATAGTGATGTTGATAATGAGGATGAGGATGATGATGATAGTGATGTTGATAGTGAGGATGAGGATGATGATGATAGTGATGTTGATAGTGAGGATGAGGATGATGATGATAGTGATGTTGATAATGAGGATGAGGATGATGATGATAGTGATGTTGATAGTGAGGATGAGGATGATGATGATAGTGATGTTGATAGTGAGGATGAGGATGATGATGATAGTGATGTTGATAATGAGGATGAGGATGAGGATGATGATGATAGATGTTGATAATGAGGATGAGGATGAGGATGATGATGATAGTGATGTTGATAGTGAGGATGAGGATGATGATGATAGTGATGTTGATAATGAGGATGAGGATGAGGATGATGATGATGAGATGTTGATAATGAGGATGAGGATGAGGATGATGATGATAGTGATGTTGATAATGAGGATGAGGATGAGGATGATGATGATGAGATGTTGATAATGAGGATGAGGATGAGGATGATGATGATAGTGATGTTGATAATGAGGATGATGATAGTGATGTTGATAATGAGGATGATGATGATAGTGATGTTGATAACGAGGATGAGGATGATGATGATAGTGATGTTGATAGTGAGGATGAGGATGATGATGATAGTGATGTTGATAATGAGGATGAGGATGATGATGATAGTGATGTTGATAGTGAGGATGAGGATGATGATGATAGTGATGTTGATAGTGAGGATGAGGATGATGATGATAGTGATGTTGATAATGAGGATGAGGATGATGATGATAGTGATGTTGATAGTGAGGATGAGGATGATGATGATAGTGATGTTGATAACGAGGATGAGGATGATGATGATAGTGATGTTGATAGTGAGGATGAGGATGATGATGATAGTGATGTTGATAATGAGGATGAGGATGATGATGATAGTGATGTTGATAGTGAGGATGAGGATGATGATGATAGTGATGTTGATAGTGAGGATGAGGATGATGATGATAGTGATGTTGATAATGAGGATGAGGATGATGATGATAGTGATGTTGATAGTGAGGATGAGGATGATGATGATAGTGATGTTGATAGTGAGGATGAGGATGATGATGATAGTGATGTTGATAATGAGGATGAGGATGAGGATGATGATGATAGTGATGTTGATAATGAGGATGAGGATGAGGATGATGATGATGAGATGTTGATAATGAGGATGAGGATGAGGATGATGATGATAGTGATGTTGATAGTGAGGATGAGGATGATGATGATAGTGATGTTGATAATGAGGATGAGGATGAGGATGATGATGATAGATGTTGATAATGAGGATGATAGTGATGTTGATTTTGATGATGATGATGATAATGATGATGAATATGGTGGTGATTGTGATATTTAAATCATCAGCACTGGTGGTGATGATGATGATTATGAGGATGATGGTGATGATGAGAAGAAGGAGTGATGTTGATGATGAGGATGGTGATGATAGTGATGATGAATATGGTGGTGATCCATATTAAATAATCAAGACTCGTATCCACCTTTCTTCTGTAACTTTTTTGTTTAAAGGAGCAGAAAGTGGTTGACTACGATAAACTAGATGACTCTGCAGATATCTTCAAAGGGCCAACGGTCGGTTACTGCTGTCTGGGAACAACCAGAGGCAAGGCAGGAAAGGTAAGCAACTAGACAAGACTCTATTTCCCTCTCTCTTTACAGCCTGTCTGCACTAGTTTGGCCAGGAGGAATTAGACCTCCCAGCGTGGTCACTGACAGGTGGTTATCTTATCAAATCAGCTCTCAATCAACATAAGAAAAAGGGATCATGGGGGACCAATGGTCACCGCTTAGGCATTGTTTGCTATATAGAGGGCACGGGTAGCTATAGTGCATTGGGGCTTTAAATCTTCCCTATTATTACTTCATCTCCCTCTGCCTTCTTCTTCTTTTGTATGATGTTTTGTTGCTACAATAGGCCTGTTTTCATCAGCTCTAGATAACCGGCTATTTTAACTATCCCAATCGGCAATTATGCAGCTAATTTGCGTCTTCATCAGGCCGCAGTTGTAATTAGCGGGATATTTGGTCGAGATAATCATCTCAAGATATCTTGGGCTAGTTTGCAAAATATCCCACTATTTGTCGGGTGTGTCTTTACCAGCCCGAACGCTGAGCAAAATATCTTGAGCTAATTTCTCGAGCTCTAGTCTTGGGCTTATTTCCCAAATCAGAAATAGCGGGCTATTTGGCAATCTCAAGCTGATGAAGTCATACATATACCTAATGTAGAGTATTAGGTCAGGGTTGGAGAGCCATTCCAGGGTGTCATCCGATACCAGATGGAGTTCCTTGAATACCACCTGATAACCTTGCAGTCACTGTCGATGTGCGACAAGGTCTGGGCCCTGTTTCATAAAACTCATAAGACTCACAGATTTTAAGTATTTCATGAAAAGTGTTGGATTGAAAAAATCCATAAGTTTCTTATTTATTGTCTGATTTTTCTCAAATATTTGAATTGATTTGATTTTATTTGTTTTATTATCCACATACATGGAAATTCTTTTTTCACATGGTTACAAAGTATATAGATAAAGCATTAAGTCAATTGAAGAAACTTTGAATTACATACATGTATTACTCATTAATCACCGAGTAAATATTCACTGATCTTTCCTTCTCATTTTTCTCTCAATATTAAAACAAACATATTATCAGGGTGGAATTCCCCTTTAATGAATGTTTTTCAACCTTTCTAATCATTGTTGTGATAATATAGGACGGATTCAAGAAGGTTGATTATGACTACGTGATGAAGATTGGAGAGCTTGCAAAACAAAACGGATGTGAGCAGTACCATCTAGTCTCATCTGTGGGCGCCAACGCCAACAGCAGTATGCTCTACACCAGAGTCAAGGTATGGGACTATGTGGAAGGAGAGAGAGAGAGAGGGGAGGAGGAAAGAGAGAGAGAGAGAGAGAAGGAGAGATGCAGGGAGAGAGAGAGAAAGAGAGAGATGTCTGGTAGATATGGATAGTATAAAAGAGGGATATCAATACATGTAACAGTATGCTATACACCAGAGTGAATTTAAGGGACTATGGGTAGGGAGAGAGAGAGTGGGGGAGGAGGAAAGAGAGAGAAAGAGAGAGAAGGAGAGAGTGGGGAGAGAGAGAGAGAAAGAAAGAGATGTCGGTAGATATGAAGAGTATAAAGGAGATACCAATTTGTGGGGGAAATCATCGAAATCAATGGATATAGCCCCAATAAACCCAACCACAACAACAAATGTAACAGTATGCTATACACCAGAGTGAAGATGTGGAATTATGGGGAAAGAGAGAAAGAGAGGGGGAGAGAGAGGAGGCGGAGATATAGAAAGAGAGATGCAGGGAGATAGTTGTCGGGGAGATGATGGGACTATGGGGAAGGAGGGGGGGGGGGGGGGGGGTTAGAGATGAAGAGAGACGGGGAAAGAGAGAGAGTGAGAGGTAGAGTTAAAGAGTGAGAGACAGAGAGGGGGAGACTGTGAGAAAGAAAAAGGGAGAGCAAAGAGTGCAAGTAGTTACTCAAAGCACTTACAAAATTTTCTCGGATACTATGACAATTTTCCTCTCTACTGATAACAAAAATTCACATTTAATATGATCTAGTAAACCTTCTTGTATAATCTGTCGTATTCAATATAGGGACAAACGGAGGAAGAGACGGCCAAACTTGAATTTGAGAAATTCACCATCTACAGACCAGGGTTAGTTGATAATTTCTTTTCTAACATTCTTTTTTGTGAAAGACATACTGTCGTATTACGCTGACCAGTAATGTCTGTACAAGTCTCACATACAGCTTAATCGATGTCTCAAGCTTATAGATGTTTGGTCTAATACCCAGTTGGTCTATTCCCATATGGTCTACACCCAGCCCGTCTACTATCCGCATGGACCAATAATCATTTCGACCACTTATCGTTTGGTCTAATGACCATTTAGGCTAAGAGTCATTTAGTATAATCTCCAATAAGTCTACTACCCATTTGGTCTATCACTCATTTAATCTAATTCGCACTTGGTCTAATTCCCATTATTTCCACTGTCCATATGGTTTCACAATCATGGATCACTGGTCTATCACTCATTTGGTCTAATTCCCGCTTGGTCTAATTCCCATTATTTCCACTGTCCATATGGTTTCTCAATCATTTAATCATAAATAATGCTAGGAACTTAGATGGGCTGGGTGTACAGCAAATGGAAATAGACCAACTGCTTGTAGACTAAATGGCAATTCACCACTTTAGTATACCCCTTGACACCTGGCCAATCAGAGGTTAAATGATTTTCATACGATATGACATTCAAATTATAACAGGACCCTGATTCTTTATTGAGTTTTTGTTCGAAACGATGCTCAAACAAGCGTTTCACCATATAACAGGGCATGATTCATATTCATAATATTTATTTTTCATTTATTTCTTTATTGCAACCGAAAATTGAGCTTGGATTTCAAATACAAATAAAAATATGATCTGATAGATAACAATGGTAGAAATAATGTAATAAAAAGAAATTATTCCGACCTTATGGGCAATAGTTTATATTCATGACCTTTGACCCCTCTCCTACCACGCCAGCATGCTGATGTGCGATCGGGAGGAGTTCCGTCTGGGCGAGCGTTTGATGCGGGGCTTGCTGAAGCCCGTTGATTTGGTCTGCCCCGGTAGTTTCACAAACACAACGCTCTCCGTTGCCATGGCAATGATCGCCATGACGGTGAAGCCTGGCGACGAGGCCAAGATGGTGCTGGATGGGAAGGCGATTTATCGAGCGTCGAAGGAGATTTAAGAAGGTGCAGCTTCTTTGTGAAGGCTGTGCTTGGAATGTCTGTGATATTAGTGGAAAGTGTGCTCCATCTGTTGTATAAGGTGCTCCGTCTGTTGTATAAGTGTGCTCTGTCTGTTGTGTAAGTGTGCTCCGTCTGGTGTATATTAGTGTGCTCCATCTGTTGTATAAGTGTGCTCCGTCTGTTGTATATTAGTGTGCTCCATCTGTTGTATAAGTGTGCTCTGTCTTTTGTATAAGTGTGCTCCGTCTGTTGTATAAGTGTGCTCCATCTGTTGTATAAGTGTAATTGTTATGGCTTTTCATTTGAATGATTTTGAGATGTCATTGTCACTTCAAACAGCAGAATCTCAGAGAGGACACAGTAGCCATTTCGTACATGTTTGTATTTAATAGGCCATGTTCGCTATGTTATCAAATTTAATGTGTGAGTCTTTGTTAAGTGTCTAATTTAAAAAGATTCCATTCACTTGTTGAGAATAAATGTATTTAAATTCAGAATGCAAATTGCATTCATAAGTTGTTGCTAGTATGGACAACATAATGGCTTGTCCTACCCCTACCAGGCCTGATAAAAACCCGATTTAAATCGGTTTCCCGATTTTTTTTATTTTTCCCGATTTTTTCCCGATTTTTTTTTTCCCGATTTAAAAAAAAAAAAAAAAAAAAAATCCAGATTTTTTTTTTTTTTTTTTTACCATTTTTTTTACCATTTTTTTTTCTTCCCTATTTTATCCTGATTTGCCCGATTTCCCTCCTATTTTCTCTATTCTTCCCTATTTTGCCCTATTTTTTCCCAGTTTCGTCCCAATTTTCTTACTCGAAAAGGGAGAATGTTGTTAGATGCCATTTTTCCCCCGCGAATCCTCTTTTTTTTTTTTTTTACTCAAGGGGGGCGTGGCTGAGGGGAAAACAAAAAACCTTTTTTTTTTTTAGTGCTCACTATCACCCCTGCCTACCTAACAACACGTATCGCAATTCGCATTCTGACTATGAAATACAATTATTTGTAACAGGTTCATGCATTAAATCTGATTACATTCCGAAAATGGTCTGCTACTGATTCTGTAGTGGAAATGGGCTGCCATTGGGAATACGTGAAACATGGATACCAGTCATTCAGTAAAGCCTTTTGCCTGTTGCACGTTGTTTTCCTATAGTTTCCATTTATTTTGTTGAATTTTGGCTTTCTGATCTTTCTTGCTGTTAACCCTGATAGCTTAAGACAAAGAACTTTTGTCTTTATTCATTGCTATTCTATAATTTGAACAAGGTCACCTTTTTGTCATAGACTCTTTCCCAGAGGCTTTTATTTCTGTCTTCTGCTGTTTCGATGTTTCATTATTTGGTCCAATTTGGGCTTTTGTTCATTCTTGCTGTTTGGCCTTTTGAGTTTTGGACCAAGAACTTTTGCTTTATTTATCGCTATTCTATCTTTTGGAAAAAGGTTGTTTTTTTGCCATAGACGTTTTCCCTGAGGCGTCTTTTTGTGACAACAGTTATTTTGATTTTACTTTATGGTTGGATTGATTTCTACTTCTGAGTTATGATAGTCGTAATCAGTTTTAAAATAGGATTTGTCCTGCTTCTGCTGTTTGTTTCGAATGATTTCAAGACGTCATTGTCATTCTAAAAGGCATGGATGGTACATCACCCAGTGTGTAATATGTAGTGAGATTATTTTCCTCCTTTCTACAACATGTCCCTTTCATTTGGTTTCTTATCATTTAACTTATTCCTAATGCCCTTTTATTTGAATAATTTGTACAGCCTTTTGTGCTCCATCATCTGACTCAACTTGGATCAAAAATGTTCAAGCCTACAACCTCTACATTGCTTCATCATTTGCTCACTTTGCTTGATATCTGTGTTTATTTTCTCTGTTATGCATGTTCATTCTCTTCTACTTGTTTAGGAAGAAAAAAAAGAACCCCTGCTGGTGATGTTGGTGAACAAATTCTAGCGCTAGTTCACAAGTGTGCCCATACTTTGGACCCGTTATACGGTCACTAACTTCATGCACACGCCCACCTGCACCCCATCGTTTAACACGGCACGCACTTGTATTGTGCAGCGGTTTGCAGTGAAACCTGTGAGAAAGTGTATATTATTATGTCTTTGTTTGTAGGAAAATTCTCCCCAAAATATTTGAAAAATGATAACGACTTTGAAGTTATGACCATTATTTCAAAAATTGTTGAAGATGTAGTTGATTTGTGGTATGTTATAATAGGGTACTCTCCACCCGCGAGTCACAGGTCCAAAGTATGGGCACACTTGTGAACCGGCGCCCATTTTCCTCTATGTACTTTAATCAAACCATTGGCTTAAGCGCCTCGTATCAGGATGGTCTAGATTGTTAGAAATAAGTTACTAATAGGGTGTTGATTCGGATCAATGAAAAGTCCTCCAATCGGTCGGAAACTTACAAACCTGTTGACATTCAGTTGGTACGTTGACTTTACTTTGAGAAAATATTTTCATTGTCATTTTTATCTTTATTTTTATCCCCCAGATTGTTGATGTGCAACCGTGAAGAATCACGCTTTGGTGAAGGCCTCATGCGATTTGTATCCAGACCTATCGATTACCTAAGTCCCGGTAGAATGACCAACACAACGCTCTCAGTCGGTCAAGCAATGATTGCAAGAACGGTCAAGCCAGCTGAGGAACCCAAGAAAATTGTGCAAGGGAGAGACATCTACACTGCTTCAAAAGATATTACAGGCTAAGAGTTTTGATTTACATGTTTCATAAAATTACTGTAAAACCGGAAACATCAACTCAAGAATATTTCACAAGGGAAGGACATCTACACTGCTTCAAATTATATTACGGGCTAAAAATGTTGATTTATATGTTCAATAAAATTACTGTAAAACCGGAAACTTTGTCTATTTTAAAACCGTTGTGAATTTTTAGTTATGATGAAGTCAATCTAGAGCAAGACTTTTGATAACCAAAGTTGTCAAAGAACAGTCATTTACATGACAGAACTTAAAACCATTGTAAATTTTTAGTAATGAGGAAATCGGTCTAGAACAAGACTTTTGATACCGAAAAAATTGTCAAAGAACAGTCGCTTATATGATAAAACTCGAAGGTTTGTGGATTCTTTAAAGTGGTTGCTTAAAGCTCCAATCATGGATTTGCTAGCCCTCAAAAATTTGTCTCAAATTTATCTGTATCAGCAAGATGAGTTTATGAAAGTATGTGCCAAATTTCTGATCAAAAGACTCTGTAATAATAATAATAATAATGATATAGATACTTATATAGCGCCGGTATCCACCAGGCTCTGACGCTTATGGCACTGTACATATTACAATCGCAAACATATTAGTCTGTAGTAACTTTCTTTGAGTGAAAATCAAAGCCCTCATTTCTTCACACAACAAATGAGGTGAATAAAACACTGCCAGTTGCAAAATTCTAATTTGATGACTGTAATTATACGGATGTTGACTACTTTGCCAACATACTTTCAGGGGAATTTTCAATTATGATTTTTTTTCCCACAACATTTTTGCCCTATTCACAATGCAAATCCCTGCAGTGTGCTTTGAGCAGGAAGACTTGAAGCCTCTGTAAATCGGCTAAAAAGGCTTTTCAAAAGGCAACATTTCCAATCATTCAAAGTGGAGATTAGGGATTTAGTTTGTATGCACTGTTGGCCAGTTGACCATGAGATGGCGCTGTGCAATTATCAAACCACTAGGGAAGTTCACTGCACATTTTACATTTCATTAACATTATATTATGTTCTTAATTACTATCAGTTTGGGTGACAAGTTAAGCATCTTCCATTTGTTACTTCTCCCTCTTTTTTCGTTGACTGACAATCCTGAAAATGTAATTTTTGGCAAACTCCTTTTTAATTTTTTTTTTACCCACCAATTGAAAAAACATTCCATTTCTGAGATAGAGCTTTGTAGATAAAAACTGTCAACATGTTGATAAAAAAAAATCATATCGTCCAAATCCGAAACTGAAATTGAACAAATAATATGAATAATTGAATATTATAGTACTTCTTTATCCTGTGTATGGTCAGACCTGTCATGTAAATATGTTTGTTTTTTATGTTGTTAAATATTGATATTTTTCTTGCTTGTCATTCATATGATAGTATGTATGCTTGGTGCATCTGTATAGATGGTATTATTGAAGGTCAGTTCGCACGTGACGTGTTAAACCATGATGGGTTCTAGTTATAATGGTGCGGTGTGAATACACCTTGTATTTCTGTATCTCGTAACACACAGATAGTACACGTATGTTCGCATTGGGCGTTTGTTGCGCACCACTAGTTTATTTTCATTCCAACTTGCTATTCATTTACATGACAATTTTTTTAACAAAATGCTGCAGTAAAGCACTGCCGGTTACCAGCGCCCTATGTAAACAAGGCACTAGAGTGTGATATACTGAATGTATCCTAATTGGGGATTTAATCACAAAGGAACAAGAAAAGATATCGATGATATGGTGTATGATTGCCTAGTGCTAATATGGCTGTCTTTGTATTCCTCTTCCTTCCTTCCTTTATTTATTTAAACTCTTTGCTCTTTCTCCGTTTCTCTGTCTCTCTGTGTCTGTCTCTCTCTCTTTCTCACTCGCTATCTATCTCTCCCCTTCTCTCTCTCTCTATCTCTCTCTCTATCTCTCTCTCTCTCTCTTTCTCACTCTCTATCCATCTATCCTTCTCTCTCTCTCTCTCTCCCTCTCTCTTTATCCCTGTGTCTTTATCTCTATATATTTCACTCTTTTGTCTTCCCCCTCGCTCTCTCTCCCTGTTCTCTGAGCCCCTCCTTCTTTGTCTCCCTTTCTCTCACTCTCTCCATCTCTCTCTCTTCCTCCTCCCCACTGCCTCTAATCTTTTCCATCTGTCTACCACCTTCTTCTTCTTCTCCGGCTATCTAATATTTTGTTCACAATTTTATCCAGTCTTTCCCTAAACATGAACAAATTCATGTATTTTAGTGTCAAAATTAGAAATGTTAAATGAAATAATAAACAAATATATCAGAATTATTTTTGTGGGTATCATTAGTATTCCAATGTTTTGTCATTGACATATGTCAAATTGAACGTATATTTTTGATGTAATTGAAGTTGTATTTTTAATGGAGTACCGTATGTGATATTTGCTTCCATTTCTTGTTATTAAAGCATCTGTTGATCATTGTTGATTTTCATTAGGTAATAGTGTTAACGATATTCTAATGGTTACAATATTGCATGAATATATTCTTCATATGGTGGTTTGTAATGTGTGGTGGTTATACTTATAGTGCAATTCTTTATTGAGTGTTTTACATGTATCTGGTAATAAATATTTGTAGCTGAGCCACGAGTCGTCAAATTGTGAGGGTGGGGCCAAATAAAGTATTATGATGTCCATGTAACGTTAGTATGACATCCTCTACTACACATGGAGGATAAAATCAGCTGTTTAAGATTTTGATGCAATGAATACATATACGGAACAAATAATGTAAAGTTGATCATCCTCCGTCACGGCAATGTACAAATAATAATTAAAACAATTGAAATAAAATTCCTGGAGAGTTCTCTTACCGGTATTCATTATGACCGGTTTCTATTTTATTTCTACAGATGTTAAAGTAATAATGATTTAGAAATAATAATGAAATAATGTTTAATTATAAAAATAACAATATCTGAAGACATAAAATCGAAATCGGTCATAGTAAAGAAGAGAACTTTTTTTTTTAAATTTCAATTGTTTTAATTATTATTTGTATATGTATATATGACTTTTTTGACAGTCTTTGATCATGATGCTATCATGGCAAATGGGGCATTATTGTAAAGGGGAATAAAAAGTCTTTTCAATGATACCAACGTCAAATATGATAATATAATAGCGAGATATCGACTCTCAAACCTGAACTTCATAATTTTTTTGGACAAGTTTGTATGATGGTCATTGATATCTGTACCTGCACTTATGTCTTCACAAGGACCTGTTTCACAAAGCCTTTTTTCAATGACAAATGACAAAAATCAGTGACAAATCTGCTGATAACCAATCAGAAGCAAGGATGTTTTGTGAAACGGGTCCCAGATCACTACCTTTCAAAATGTAATACCTTCTTACAATATGTATGTTAAGAATGCGGACTTTAGCTAGTTGAGGAAGGTAGTTACATCACAGGAAGTTGCTCCTAATTGGTCAGAAAACTATGTGGAGCTTCACGATTTAACACTCGCATACATGCTTGAATGCAAGTGTCACAACTATCTCCCTCAGTCTGCTATGGCTAAAACATAGGCTAGAAAATATTATAATCAATGGACCAATGATCCCAATTAAAAGTAGATTATGTGATTCAAAACTGCCATGAAAATTAAGTATTGTTACATATAGTTGTTGGTCAGTGAATATTTTGGTAGTTTATTTTTCCAAATGGTGGTTTTGCAGCATTTGTCTTTTTCCTTGTAAATGCAAAACGTGAATTAATAATAAAGTTATATCATTGTTAAATATAATCATAGTTCTTGATGTCTTCACTTCTTTGTTTTAAATAATTGTTTCTAGATAAACTGAATCTTTAACTGAATTGTTATGAATGAATGAGTTTATTACAATTGCTGCAAGTATGTGCGTTTTTTTTTGTGTGTGTGTGTGTGTATTTATGTATGAATGAAAATAATTAATTACCAGTTTGTTTAATGAATGTAGTCATTAATGATTTACCACTTGCTCTATGACTGAACGAATTAATGAACAATTACAAAAACGAGAAACTTATTTTAAAGGGGTATACTGGTAAACATAAGTATGCAGTGAAATGGAGACCATGGAACAGCCGCAATGGTTGCAGTTTCCTCAAACTACTCGTATATGTGATTTAGTGTGTAGTAGACCACCGTTTGCTCATACCAGCAAAATAAAAATAAAACAGCTATCACTTGCTGGAAACTATGTGTACTGAAACCAAATGGTCTTCCAAAAGTTCTTTGTAAGTAATAATAACATTAGGTATATATTCTACTGCGCTACAAGAGCTCCTGATATGCTTATATATGTGTTTTCAGTTTTGATTTAAAAATATTCACAGATGGTGATTTCCTGACTTTAGGTACAGTTATTACCCATTATCACTCCCAATTACCATAATGATATATCAAAACCTCTCTTCAGATAGACAAAAAACAGAGCCAATGGATTTCAAATCTTTCATTTTAAAAGCACATTCTTTTAATAACATGCTTCTGTTTTTGCAAAGACACACACACAAAAATGCTTACAAAAGGTGCACCATTTTTACAGATATTTACAAACAATTGTAATTTTTAAAAAGATATTTGTACACGAATGATGTCAGTAATATTAATTTCAGAGATATAGGTTATTAATATTAGAAAAGAGATACAAGTATATTGCTAGATGAATAGAAATTTCTTTTAATATATTACCAAGTAAAAATACAAAAGAGTAGCACTAAATCCCCCACACACATCCAATAACAGAATGACAAATATATACATCATAAAAAAGGATATCAAATCTGATATCTTCATCATGCATCATGATTTGTTAAAAAATGACACAAAATATACATGTACAGTACACATGAAGAATTCAGAGAATATATTACTTTGACAAAGCTATTAGCATATACTATAAACCTTAAGTTCTTGATAAGGTTGAATTTATATTACTTTTATACAAAAAGAATAAACCTTAAAATGCATCCCCTATTTTGGAGTCTGCAATATAAGCTGTTGCCCATAAAGCTGGAATCAGTTTTCTTACCTCTTTTCCTGAAATGATTGTGACAATAGGCCAGTTCACACATAACAATTATCGCAATTTGGATCGCGATGCGAAGATTGATTTTTTTTTGGCAACCATTCACACACAGGGTGAACGTTCGCTCGACGTCCGAACTGCGCATGTGTGAATCTCGACGATGTATGCGCGCATGAAAGCCTGGGATTAAATAAATCAAATTTGATTCTCAAATCCGTTTGAACATACATCGCCCAGCAAACTACCACGATTATTCTGAAAAATCGTGAGACTTACTGCGAATTGGATCGAGATGCGAATCGCGAAGATTAGCGAAATTATTGTGTCCACACTTTTTTCTGTAGGTGTTGTTCTTGATGGATCGATATAAAGAGTCAAAGCGATTGAGAAGATTTAAACTTCATCTATCAAGAAGAAATCATATTCTCAAAATCATTTCATGAAAAGAAGTAAAAAATAAATTATTATTCCAACTTTATGGGCAACAGTTTATTAAACAAATTTAGCACTTGTGCAGCATGAATTCAAAACTATTTTTACAAACAGCCTTGAGAGAAAAGACTTAACATTTATACAACTATAGTTATTTGCCCTGCAGCTAAACATGAAACATTATAATGTAGGAGGCATGACGGCTCAGTGTTCTTGTAACCGGGACGTCTCACGTTTGAAATCCAATTAGATGCACTAGTGCCCTTTGGTTACGCATTAATCGTCATTACAAAGCCGTCAGTCCCTTGGTTCCTTACTTAGAAGCAAACACATGGTTTCTTAGCAGTCAGGTATAACAAACAAAACATCTTATAATATTGGAAATTTCTATAGCACACATATCCACTTCATACGGTGCCAGTAATACCCTGGCCCTACTAGGCAACTAATTTCATTAAGTTGCTCACAGCATTCAAGCAATTCCTTCCTACCAGGTAGGATCAATCAATCAATCATTTAACACCTGGGTGAAGAGTGGCAAATGTAGATTAATGTCTTGCCAAAGGACATTACTGCCGTGAACCGCAAACCATATCATCCACAATCCAAAGACGTATCCACGAGACCACAACTAAAATATAAGATAAACCTCTCCCCCCCCCCCCAAAAAAAAAGAAGAAATAATTATAATAATAACTATTAAAAAAATAAGAATAAAAATGAATGAATGCATAATTAAAATAAAAATGAATAAAATTGACAAAAGTGCCAAACTGAACGTGGAATGAGGTTGTCATAACTGAGAGCGGAAATAAAGTTTCCAAAGGCAAGAGATACGACTAAATAAAAACATAGCAGCTCGACTATTCAGTGGTCTGCTTTCACTATGAACATGACTGCTCAAAAATCAAGATTTCAAGATATTTCTTTCGAGACTTAGAATTAGAAGACAGAATGATTAGATTTAGAAATTTTAGAAAGTTTCTTCTCTCCTTCTTCGATGCATTTGCTGAAAGACATAGTAAATATATATTGCTTATCAACACAACTACACGTACCTTTATACTCACTAATGCATAGGTCATCATCAATGCCTTGAGCCTTTGCGTTTCCATGCGAACACCAGAGAAACAAGCTGACATTGATCTAAAGCTACGCTGCATTTCCTGTGTGTTTAGGGGAAACGGATCGAAAACACAAAGGCCTAAGACTTTTGTTAATGTTTATTGCACAGCGCCATCTCATGGTCAACTTGTGAACAGTGCGTAACCCGATACCTGACTTCCACTTTGTAAACAGAGGACTTAAAGTTGCTCAAGCGTGGGTATATAGAGGGCAGCACACGAACGTACGCATGTCAGCGTAATACACATTGGCTCAGTGTTATGTAGTGATTGGGAGTGATCGCCAAGTTGCCTACTTCACGAACGACTATATGCCCACGCTTGAGCAACTTTAAAGTGAGAACCAACAGTCCAGCTTGGGAAGCAGTGAGTAACGGGACCACACTGCTACAGCTGACCCGAAATGGCGCTAGAGGTTTTTTAACGTAGTGCTTCTAGTACAGTATGGCTTTTAAACAAAACAAGTCCACATCAATTATTACATGATAAATCATTTAAACTCTGTACCACTCATTTGCATAGGAGTAAAATGTCTCAGAGTAAAAAATTGAAAGACAATATTTAGTGCAAATTGGTTGGAATAGGAGTGCTTGCATCCAATCTGAAACTTTACAAAACTTTGAAGTGACATTCAAAGGCAAAAGAGAGAATGGACGGAAACTCCATTTCGGAATTCACGATGTATGGCATACCGTAAACGCTGTAAATTTTGTGTGATTCAATTTTCATGCTGAATGACCCCAAACATATTCCCAGGTTCTTAAATTCCCGTTGCACGCGATTCAACCCGTTCAAAACATGCATAAGAAGTCATGCTTATATTTTCGCGAGTTCTAAAACCTGCGCCTTGCCGATCTTACCGCGAAATCCGCGAAAATTAATGTACCGCATATATTTCTACGTTTGCAGTATTTTGTAGCTAATTTCTAATCTTCACTGGAATATAAAAAGCAGTGTTGAGAATGAACATGTATATCATATACATCACTGAGTGATGTACGTTCCATGAATCGTTTAAACATGACATACGACTGCATTGAAACATCAAGGCATAAGTGAATATGAACAGACGGACAATCCAGTTGATGGAATACTATTTCAACAGTCATTTACTGACCCATGCTGTGTGTGAACTACTCTTTACTAACATACATGTAACCACATTGACGTGCATTGATTTACAGGAATGTGAACACGGCTTTACATCGTTGGATTGAAATTGAGATTCCTGGAAGAAAATTATTAGGAAAGATACCAATGATTGGCATACATTACATTACAAGAACAAGGACATGACATCTATCACCTAATGAATATTTGCACTACTCTTTAGTAACGTAACCATAATGACGTGCGTTGCTGTATCGGAATGTGAACACAGATGGAAAGTGTTGGATAGAATTTCAGAGTTCTGGAAGAAAATGAAGAGAAACTCCAGTTGATAGATAACATTTGATGACATACAAATACTGTGCTTAGTGAAATACGTCCTGCGGGTGTTTCACAAAGATCAAACTTAACACTTAGTTGGACTTAAAATTATGGAGAGCCATCTTGTAGCCTTAAAATAAAATACATTCAAAAGCGAAAATTGAAGTATTTTAGACTTTTTATAAATTCTGCATCAAGAACATGAAATCTCCTTGATAATAGAAAATATGAATGATTTGAATCAACATTTTTTTGCCTTTTAAAATAACTGTTACAAAATATTTTCATATAGATGCTAACGGCTTTCCATTATTGATCTTTGTGAAACACCCCCAGTATGTGATCTACTCTTCAATGTGACATAACTATGTTACTTGTAACGTTTTACAAGAATGCGAATACAGTTTTAAATCGTTAGATTTAGATTGAAGGCACCGAAGAAGCTGGACAGAAACTCAAGGCAATAGAAGCAAAGACACACATGTACTTGTACAAGCGCTTTTCACTGAATGACCAATGCCTCACACTTACTAATCTGAAATCACTTGTACATTATCAAAATTATTGGCACGATTGAGAACACAGATGGACATCGTTGATTGAAATTCAAAGGCATCATAGAGATTGGACGGAAACTCCAGAGATTACCGCAAGTGAATTCACACAAAGGCATGATCGTTGCAATCCAAATACTGATTGAATCATATGAAAATAATGCCTCTGGCTACTTCGTAACGGAGGCATAAAAAGGAGTTTAAAAAAACCATTTGAAATAGTCAAGTAAGCGAACGTCCTACATGTACATTGTTCATGACTAGCTGCCACACAATATGCAATGTATGATTAGTGGGGAAAAATGCATTCAGTTGGCTAAAAAAATTAACAAATTAAAAAGCCAGCTTTGAAAGAGCAATTGCCGACTGTACAGCCCATAGGGCTAATTTATACATGTAGGTCTGAATGAGTTTGTCACTTTCATTTCACGGCATGAATTCTTTGCAATAAAGTGGAAAACATTGTGCACAGTGAGCAGAAGGGAAGCAACAATTGAACCAAAATGGTCCAACTGAATTTGAAACTACAGATGCTCCCGACTTAAACTCACACAAAATGAATCTTTCAGGCATTTCTCTTGGCAGTATTGGCTTTATGTCCAAAACAATGGTTAGGAATAGTTCTACTTTCCCTTGATCTTGACCAAAGTCCCTCAATCTCAGTTGCTCCTAGATGACTGAAAGAGAATTGTCACAGAGTGAATCTTTGAGGCACTTCTCTCTGCAGCAATGGCTCCATCAACGGATCACTTGCAGGGTGTACTCTGTTTTTTAATTTTGCAGAGTCTCTAGATGCCGAACCGTCTAAAAATAAAGACCCTCGCTGTATCCAGCACTTCTCTGCGAAGCAATGACTGTACCAACAGAACTCATGGTGGGCGTAGCTCTTTCCAGCCTTAGGTGCTGCAAAATCCCTGACACATCGCTGGTCCCAATTGTACCTCTCTCAGCCTGAATGTAAATCTTCCAGGCACTTCTCTCTGCAGCACTTGCTCAATCTGTGGAACTCGTGAAGGATGCAGTTCTTAAAACGTTGGTCGATACTGAGGCCCTTAACACTTTAATTGCTGCTTCTGAACAAAGCTCTCAGGGAGAGAATCACTTAGCAACAATCGTTTCATCGACGGAACTCATACGTAACATATTTCCTCCTCCTCTTGGAGGCTGCAGAATCTAAAAATGTTGACCGTTCTCAGGTGATCAAGAGAAAAACCTCTCACGGAGTGACGGAGTGAATTTTTCAGACAACTCTCCCTGCTGTAATAGTCGTGTCAGCGGAACTCATGTGGGGCGTAGTTCTTCCACCCCTTGGAGGCTGCAGAATCCACAAATCTTGACCGTTCTCAGGTGGTCAAAAGAATAAACTCTCACAGAGTGAATTTTTCAGGCAACTCTCTCTGCTGCAACAGTCATGTCAGCGGAACTCATGTATAACATAGTTCTCCCTCCCCTTGGACGCTGCGGAATCCAAAAATCTTGACCGTTTTCAGGTGATCAAAGAATAAACACTCACAGAGTGAATTTTTCAGGCAACTCTTCCTCCTGCAATCGTCGTATCAGCGGAACTCATGCGGGGCGTAGTTCTTCCTCCCCTTACTCTCGGCAGAATCCCTTGATATGGGCTGTTCCCTGAAGACAATTGGTCCATCTTCAAGGGACGTCGATGATATTCTTGTTTGGTGGTAGTGCTCTCTCCCTCTTTCTTTCCTTCTCTTGATGAAGGGATGCTTGAGGAGTTCAGAGGCGGTGGCTCGCTCATCTTGATCCCTGCAGGGCGAACATGAAAAAGGATGTATTAGCATCGCATTAAATCATATCAAATTGTATCACGGTTTGGACAGTAAATCTACAGATCAGCCTGCATTCACATCCAAGTGATCTTTGTCTGTCAATTGGTTACAGAATCATAGAAATTTAGATGAGACAATATATTATTTAAATAATACACAGCAGTGAATGCATACATAAGAATTACCTACACAAGGTACCTTTGGAACAGTCTAACACGCCCGAGGTGATAGCCGAGGGTGTTTGGACTGTTTTGAAGGTACAGAGTGTGGGTAATTTTACTAATGCCTGAATAAAATGATGCATGTTATTTGTTATAAAATGATGTTTTATAACATGATTTTACTGATGACCGGTCATAAGTATTTACTAATGACTGGTCATTAGTAAAATTAAGTGTTCAGCAAAATATATGCATGGTCACGTGTACACTCTCAACCAATCATTTGATTAGGATCCACGTCAACATTTTATAATGATCCTTACCTTGTCAGGCAAGCGTTGACAAACATCCTCGCATCTTCTGAGAACTTGACAGGTAACTGTGGAACAGGGTCCCCAGAGCCGATAGCAAAAATGGCCGCCATGGGAGGCATGTCCGCCCAAGGGGGCTTACGGGTTGCCATCTCAAAGACTGTACACCCAATAGACCTAGAGGGAAGCAAGGAAGTATGGTTAAGGATCAACATAGGGAGATTACCAAAGCCAAGAGTTCAAAGACCAGGGACCCATTTCACAAAGCCTTTCTCAATGACAAATGACAAAAATCAGTGACAAATCTGCTGATAACCAATAAGAAGCAAGGGTTTCAGTAGCTTAAAACAAAAACTGACATTTGTCACTGATTACATGTTTTGTGAAATGGGGCCCTTGTATGGTTTTTTTTAAGGGTATAGTTTGACTTTTATCTGTAAATTACTGAGCCAAAGAGTAACATGCAGTTCATACATTGGGGGTGATAGGGGAGGGGCAAAAAGGTAAACAATTTCCCATGAGAGATAGTCTAATAACCATTTTGTCTAATGCCTATTTGGTCTACCATCCATAAGGTCTAATAATCATTCGATTATTATTATCATTTATGACAATATGACTAAATGAGCAATAGACCAAATGATTAGAAGACTTATTGACGATTAGACCAAATGGAAATTAGACCAAACGACTTTGAGCCTACATGGTCATTAGACCAAATGATAAGTAGACAAAATGATTATATATAATGCCATGTGGACTGTAGACTAACTGATTCAGCCGAGGACGCAGATTCGAAACTGAGTCGCGTTTTTCAGATAGTGATGTTTAAAGGTCGGTCCCCAGACGTAAATAATCATATCTGATTGATACACGTCTGAACAAACCCAACACACAGAGACTTATTTGTTGTAGACCAATTGGGAATAAACCCATTGGGTAACAAACAAACTGGTTGTAGACCAAATGAGAATAAACCCATTGGTAGTAGCCGAACTGGTTGTAGACCCGTTGGGCAGTGGCCGAACTGGTTGTAGACCAAATGGGAATAAACCCATTGGGTAGTAGACAAACTGGTTGTAGACCAAATAGGAATAAACCCATTGCGAAGTAGCAGAAATGGTTGTAGACCATAGGAAAATAAACCCATTGGGTTGTAGACCAAACGGCTATAAACTCACCATATATCTGATTTCTTCCCATGACCAGTCTCCATTATGACCTCAGGAGCCATCCAGTATGGAGTCCCCCTCATTGACTTGAGCACGTTCTGACTGCGGCTGATCTGGATGCACAGACGCTTGGCACAGCCAAAGTCAATCAGCTTAATCACACCAGTCGACATCAGCATTATATTCGCTCCCTTGATGTCCCTAAATAGAGGTGGGGGGGGGGGGGGGGGGGGGGAGAGAGAGAGAAATAATATGAATGATTTAGTCATATAGTCTGTGTGTAGCAATCACTAAAAGACGTTTTGCTCTTGAACTCTTTTATGGGCATCGTATGTCGAGAGAACATGGTTATAATTTATTCCGCGTTGTTTATCCTGCAGTAATTTGATTGTTTAAACCAGTAAAATAAAAATAACGTCACAAAAACTTGCTGAAAATCACCTTCAATAAAAACCACAACTCTCATTTGCACATAATAGTGACCTGTATTTAATAAGCACATGCTGTCGGACCTTCTTACCTGTGTATGACATTATTCTCATGTAGGTACTGAGTGCCTTCAAGGATCTGTTTGGTATAGCGGCAGAACACCGTTTCATCCAACGATCCAAATCTTGCCAGGAGGGATGCGATGGAACCACCGGGGATGAACTGCATGAAGATGTTGACAACATTGTCTTCTAGAGACACTCCTAGGAATCTACATGAAAGAAGGATGTAATCATAGTATTATTGATCTCATCGATTTTTATCTTGATTAGGTAAACCATTTTTTTAAAGTTTTTTTTTAAAGTTTTTTTTAACAGGTTTGGATGAAGAAATTAAGACATGTTGAAAACCTGTACATTTTAGACAATATAAAGCTGGACTAAGCCTGAAATTCAACAATAGCCAGAAAACTATTACATCGTTACTAAATGATATCATTATTATCATTATAAACTTTTTGATAGCATCACCATTACGACAGCATTTTTTTCATAACTACATCATGTTATCATCATCATATCATACAAACCATCAGGTATAATAAAATCTAGGATTTAGCGAGTGACGGGACAAAGCGATCCCAGTCTAACTATGGTTAAAATAAAGTGTAAACACAACAACACGATTGCATCTGCATTACCACAAGCACCCATGGACCCTGTTTCCACTTACCCCACGATGACCTAGAACTTGCCAGAAAATAAAGTAATCCCAGTCTAACTATGGTTAAAATAAAGTGTAAACACAACCACACAATTGCATCTGCATTGCCACACACCCCCATGGACCCTGTTTCCACTTACCCCACGATGTTCTTGTGGCGAAGCGTCTTTAGAAGCTGGACCTCCTCCTGTAGTTTGAGATACTGTTGCTTGGCCTTCTCTTTGTCTATCTCACTCAGCTCAACCTGCTTCACGGCCAATAGCTGTCCCGTGTTCGTCAGTCCACAGTATACCTGTAAGGGTGATAGACAAACGTTGACAATCAAACATGTATATTAAGACCATCCAAGGGAAACCTAACAACAATGTGAGAGAGACTTTAACCTCTGGTACTAAAAGGTGTTTGGAAAGTTGCGAAATGTGTCTTTTAAGAAAATTGATGAGAATCCCTTGGACTGACAGAGTTAGTTAGAGCTGGAGTGCAAAGGAAATGTTACGTGAGATGTTGATTAGGCAGTTGAAGTTCATGGGTCACATTACCGTAAAGAAGGCCTAGAGAATCTTGCTTCAACAGGGAAAATTGTGGGAAGAAGGAGTAGGGGAAGAAGCAGTATACTTTAGATGGACAGTCTGCAGAAATTGTTGGAAGAGAGAGGAGTGAAAGAACTGGGAGTGGTGCTAATAGAGAAGGCTAGGAACCTAGGGTTGTGGAACAGCATGATTGCCAAAGTCAATCGATATAGAGAGAGAATGAGAATGTTTTTTAAAAACAATATTATTAGTATTATTATCGATGCATGAAATCTATTCCTAAGCATTATGATGTTCCAGCTATGACATCATCTCAAGAAGAATAACCCTGACAAAGACAAATAGAACAACATCTCAATGTGGCATATTGACCAAGGACGCTGAATTTGTGAAACATTGTGGAGCAAGCACCCTTAGGGCCCAGCTATACCAGAAGCCATCATCATCATTTTCTCAATTTATCACTCATCAATAAATCATCAATTTTGTTCCTTTCTCCCCAGTTGTTTTTCTAAGATAAACACCCTGTACAAACATACCTTTCAAATCAATGTAATTTAATATATTTGTATGTGTGATGGCTAAATGGGAACTAAATATTCAGATTTTTTACATAAATCATAGAAGGAAAATAATGAAAGACTACTCAGGATTGCACAACAGATAATATTGTAACTTGCAAATATTGGCGCAAAAAGCATTCAACACTGAGAGGGTAAACTTACCGTCCCAAATGCTCCTTTCCCCAGCAGATTGCCTTTCTTCCAGTGGAGCAGCTCCGTACCCTCAGACTCTGACACCGTGGTGTTAGTGCTAAGACTACGATCGGTGCTACTGATCATGCTCGAAGATGTATCGTGACTGTTCAGAACACTCTGTAATAGAAAGACAACATTCTTAAATGAAACACTCAAGATTGACACCGTGGTGTTAGCACTAAGAATGTGATCAGTGCTACTGATTGTGCTTGAAGACATTGCTATATATACTTTGAGTGGCCAGGTACAAAAAAGAGAAGTGTAACTTGTCAAAACGTGGTGTTGAACATACACTGGGAAGACCTTTCTGAAATGATTTGTGAAAGAATATTTATTTTCCCTGCACGTTAGCCGTGTCATATAGCATATGTATGACTGTTCGTAACCAACTAGAGGACCTACGGCTTCAAGTCCTCTCCAAGGGAATTGGTAATGAGGATTAATGCCTTATCAAAGGCACTAGCACATCAACTTTGTTTCGAACCCAGGACCTCCCGCTCTTACCACTGAGCCACTGTGCATTCTCAAGTAGTACCTATGTATCTCCCGCCTACCAGTACTCTTAAAGCCCATCTGCACTAGTTTAGCCAGGAGGGATTAGACCTCCCTGCAAGGTCACTGACAGGTGGTTATCTCATCAAATCAGCTCTCAATTATTAAGAAAAAGGGGACCATGGAGGACCAATGGTCACTGATTAGGCATTGTTTGGCCACATAGAGGGTGCAAATAGCTATAAGTAGTGCAGTGGGGCTTTAAGAGAAAGCTTAATATTGTTGTGCATGAAGATTGCGAGTTAAGAGCATTCTTAGGTGTGCCATAACTTTGTATGTAAGAGGCCGAACAGTTAATTTTGTACAGTATGATTGGTTTGTTTGTGACTCACCTCTCCGGTATCATTGAAATCCCTGAAGACCTCACTGCTTGTTTCCGACAGAGCGATGCTCTGGTTCAAGAACTCCCTTTCATCCTGGTCACCCCCTTGGACATTGATGACATCCCCAGCACTAGGAGACATGCTCCTCACCGAGCTTCGGGCGGTATGGACGGACTGCCCACCGACGGACGATGGAGGCCTGGTATGGATGACCGATGTCGTGGTGGAATCAAGAGATTGTGCGATGGTTTTAAACTCCTGGAGTGTCTTCTCTGTCAACGTCTGGACGTGTCTGGTCAGAGGCTCTTCCTCTTCAACAAAATCATCGTCTGCTGAATCCTGGTGTCCATCTACCTCAAAGATTGGGGATTTTGTCGGAATGCCAGGTCTACTGGGACTTGGACGATTATCTAAGACGGGTGGCTCTGATTGTGCATCTCCAAGTGATTTGCCACGCCTTTTCTTGACTGAAGATGAGGGAGGACTGAACTTCTTATCTGGAAGACTGTTCTTGATTGTAGACACTTGGGACTTGTTCTCTTCCCTCTTCTGGGCAGATTTGTTGACAGGAGTTCCAGGAGAGGATGCACTGTCTGCATCCGCAGGTGGGAAGTTTGGTTCACTTGCTCGCCTTGGGCTAGATCTCTTGGAAGACTGGATCTGGTGCTGCTGGAGTAATTTAGGAAGTGGCGGCTTCTTCTTGAGGACGTTGACCTTCAGCTGGCTCCTCTGTCCTGGTGACGCTTCCTCATTGGCATCACTCCCACTGTCCGGTTTGTTCAGAATCAAGCTCAGATGTTCACGGACCTGTTCCTCGTCCGAGGTCATAGAGGTCATAGAAGTCCGACGCGAACCTTGAGAAGACGGAGTCTCGTAGTGATCCCTGATACGGAAGACCTTGAGCAGGTCAGGATTGGTTTCATAGCTTGACAGCTCTCCAGTCAGGCCTAGGCTCCGACTGTCTTGGTCAGGGTGATTGAGGTCATCGCCCATCTGGGAACTACTCTTCCTCACCCGAACATCTGGCACTGGAGGATCTCTCTCCTTTGCTTGATCAAGATCCATCTGATCAGGCTCCGCATGAGTCCCAGACCTTTCCCCTGATCCTGCATTTCCATCTACAGCCACATTGTCTTGTCCCTGAGAACTGGAAGGATTTTCCCTCAACACAGATTTTGCAGCACTCATCTCTGAGGATGAGGTGCTTTTGAGAGAGTCAGCAAACTCCTTGATCGTTCCCATGGTGTCTGGAATAAAGAAAGGAGCGTTCATCTCAAGAGGGCTCAAAATGTTCACCAGGTTCTTCTTCTCTTCCAGGGATATGGATCTCAGTACGACTAGCTCATCCAACTTTAACGAGTTGTGCGGGCTGAGCTGCACTTCTCCAAGATTTCCAACATCCTCATCAGAAGAATCGTCCTGGTTACCTTCCTGGATGTAAACATCATCGTTCTCGTTGCGTGAAGTCTTGATGCTCCAACCTTGCCCTGTGATGAAGGCAGTAGTATTTTGCTCTGACTCGGGCACCAAGCTGTAATTAATATCCTTCATTTTCTTCTTTGACTTTGTCCTGACACTTGATTTCTTTGTCTTTTTGCTGACCTTTGACCCTTCACCGCCCCTACTTCCTCCGCTTCCTACTCTCCCTTTGCTCTTCCCACCACTGCCTACTCTGTCCTTTGCCTTTCCTTTGCTTCCTTTCGCTAGCAAAGTGCCTGAAACCTTCTTCGGAACGTTCCTCACCAGCTTCTTAACAGGGCCCTTAACGCTTGCAACACGATCTTTGATCTTTCCCAAGACTTCTATTTTGACATCCGGAGAGGTACCAGAAGTGGCCTGTTTGAACATCTCCACGATGTCCATGATCACTGGTGACTGCTTTGCAGCCATCGGATCACGGACAGTCTTCTTTTCTGTCCCAATGACCTTTGGCCCGGCCATGTCACGTGGTGAGGTGTCTGGAGACTTGTACTTCCCTTTCCTGAAAGAATTGTTGCCAGGTTTCGGCTCTCTCGGACTGGTCGGGTTCAGATGAATGTCCTCACTTTGCTCTGATGTTACTAACTTCACCGCAGGGTCAATGTAGTCCTGGCCTGCAGGATTGACCTTTGAACTCTCATCTAATACCTTTGGAGAGACTTCTTGGGTGTAATTTGCTAACATAGTACCTATCCCTATATTTCCAGCTGAGATTACAATATCTTTCTTACTACTATCTATTGAAACAACAGTCCTCTTCTCTGTAGCACCTAGCTTGTTTTCTTCATTTATATTTTGAGAACTGTTCTCAACCTTCGCTGGCGATGCTGCATTCTTCAAATGAAGCTGTTTTGAAGCAGCTTTAGGCATGGCCTTCTCATTGCTGTCTAACTCCTTCCCTTCACTTTTACTATTTCTCAAACCCTCAGCAGGCTTTTGCTTCAAAGCAGTCACATTGCTACTCACTGAGGGCTTCACTTTGGTAACTTCTGTCTCACTTGTTGACCCATTGGAAGGCTTTCGATTTGAAATGGTCAAGTTGCTCTTCTCTCCCACCTTTTTTGGATTTGTCTCATTAGTTGGTCGAGGTTCCCTGGTCATAATCTTCTTCACAGGAACACCTTTTGAAGCTACCTTGCTGTTGCCCGACTCATGCGCATCCTCCTTCACAGGCTTCTTTACAAAGGTTCCCTTTCCTTTCACAGATTCCCTGTCAACGCTCTTCTGCTGTTGGGCACCAGGTGTTGGTTTCTTGACTGTTCGAGGTTTGGCTGAGGATTTCTCTAAGACCACTTTGGTTCCCTGTGGCACCGATGTCTTCTGGTGCTTTGACGATGCCTTAGACGGATCCTTGATCTGCTTTGTCCTTGCTTTACCAAGGTCTGTAGGTGTATCCTCTTCATCGCTGAAGACCACTTCCTCAAAAACTTCCTCAGCGTCACTACTCTCTACAAGCTCCTCAAAGTCATCCGTCTTTGTGCAAGGAGGAACCGTACTTCCTTTCCTCCCTTCCTTCTGCCCTTTGCAATCTCTCGCTGTCACAGGCATCTCTTCCACAAATCTTTGATCCTCATTATCAAAGTCCGATTCGGACGAATCATCATCATCATCGCATGATATTCTCCAAGTGATCACCTTCTTCTCTTCAGCATCTTTCTTCCCTGTTTTCGCTTTACCCTGGTCATTCTTGGTTTTACTTCCCACTGTGTCAACAGCAGTTGCAGCACCTTTCCTCACACTTATTGCACATTTCCCTTCAGGTTTCACATCAGGCTCTCTCTGCGGTTTCGAAGTAACAGTCTGTTTATCTGTCTTTACACAAGCCTTTTTATTTGCAAGGTTAGGGGCCAGCTTTACAAGATCCGATGCTTTCTTCTCCTTTCTCCCTTTACTTGTCAATGTTGCGTTCTTTCCCTTGCTTGCTATCACACTTTTGGTCTCTACTTTGACCTTTTTAGTCCCACTGCTCGTACATGATTTCTCAATCGGAGTTCCAACTTTCACTTCTGTTTTAACAACAGACTCATCTATCTTTGAGCTTTCCCGATTGTCAACCTTACGGGTGTCCTTTTCAGAATTTCTTCCAGACGATTTAGATTCTACTTTGGCAACAGGCAAGACTTCTAATGTCCGAATAACAGGTTTTGAGACACCAACAAGGGTCGAGTTCTTCTCTTCCTGGACGCCACGTTGTGTTCCAGGTACTGGAGGTTGAGCCTTCAAGGTCTTATCAGCCATTTTTTTCACAGTGTTTCCCGATAGTTGTGCCTTCTTACAAGTAAAGTTTGGTGCCGTTTTCTGATGGGGTAAAGATTTTGTGGAATGGCTTGTGGGAGTCACCTTCCCTTTGGTGGCACATAGCGGTGTCACAAGGGCCGTGTTTCTCTTTGATGTCTTCTCAGCCGTATTGTCTCTAGATAGTAGCTCATTGTCCTTTCCTACAGCTGTCGTCACATTGCCACCTGAAAAGGGTGACGAAGTACTGGACTGACTGGCACCAACTGGATGATCATCTGGGGAAGATGCTGATTGTTTCCTTGTACCAAGCAACATGGAATTGTCCTCAAGAGATATCTTCCGTTTCCCACCCTGCCGATTTGAACTATTTTGCGAACCCTGTAAGTTTTTATCAAGGTCATCACCGATCGTTGAAGATTTCCTCTGTCCATCCTCCTTGGCTGTATCATTGGAATCCACAGCCTCTGAAGACATGACGGCACTGATTGAGGACATGGAAAGAACGGATAAGCACTCTTCGCTTGTTTGTCGCTTTGACCTATGTGCTTGAGACTGGTTGACGGCCGGAGAGGCCCGACCTAGGCTGGGAAGCCTCATCTTCGCCCTCTGAAACAGAGCGATCCTTTCATCCAGAACATTGGTGGCGGAGGGTGTCATCTTGATCCCCAAGCGGTTCTTCGCTACTTCCTTGCGATCGAGTTCGAGTTGCGGGCTTGGGCTCGACATGACGAGGCTCGCTGCGGAGGAGGTGTGACTCACAGTCGACCTGGACGATCCCTGACCAGAGTCAGAGCTGTCCTTGAGGGGGTTCACGCGGCTGGCTTCAATGTTGAACATGACGCTGCGATTCTGGAGCACACCCTGCTGCCCTCTACTCTCCTCCTCGTCCACTTCATCTTCCAAGCTCAGTCTCAGGGATTGCATCTCATTCTTGCCATCCTTCTCGCCCTCATCCTCACCGTTCTCATCCTCGAACTCAAAGATGGTTTCCTGGAGCTGGCGGTTGTCACCAAAGTTCCCTGGTGAGAGGGGAAGGATACTGCGTGAGGTTGGGTATAGACTTGAAGCTTCAGGGTTCGGACTTGGAGTTGTCAGCCTCAAATGCATTTGTTCTGAGGGGAAAAATAAAAGTTGATATTATAGATTTGCATACTGTTTTCATCAAATGACATTCCGACAAGGATTAGACTATTTTAAATTTGCATTCTAGGCCTGCTTGCTTCTTCCTTAAAAAAGACACAAATATTTTAGTATTTTCATGCATCTACTGCAAGGGGATTCACAAAGCCAAGTGTTTTAACATACTTGTACAAGTGACAGGATTTGAATTCGACATGAAAGTTTGAAATTCAGTTACAGGTTTAGATTTAGTCCCAACCAGAATTACTTCTGAAATATTAGTTTAAAAATGGCAAAAGATGGCTCAGCTTTTGCAACCTACAGCTTCCCCAGCTCCTTAAAGCCCCACTGCACTAGTTTGGCCAGGAGGGATTAGACCTGCCTGCGTGGTCACTGACAGAGAGTTATCTCATCAAATCAGCTTTCAATTAACATAAGAAAAAGGGGACCATGGGAAACCAACGAGTACAGCTTAGGCATTGTTTGCTATATAGAGGGCGCAAGTAGCTGTAAGTAGTGCAGTGGGGCTTTACAGAAACTCACCAAATTTCAAATACACTTACCAAGGTTTAGGAGTTGTGACGTGCGTATAGAAGGAGTGTGCGCCAACGCAGGACTGGTCGATATATCTTTGTTACAGAACGTCTGATACACCTTGGCGACGTCCGAGATGCTCGGATCCGACGAACGATGTTGGGTGGAAGGGCCCCCTCTAGGTCTGCTAAGTGACGAGTCGCTCTGCGTGGATGAGTGACGATCAGGCTGCCTGACACCTGGGGGAAGTATACGCTGGAACCTGAAGAACAAAAGAAATAATATAATTCTGTTAGTAAATGTTCAATTATTATAATTGTTTCTTATCAAAGGTATAGACCAGTTTCGGAAACGCCCCCCTCTCAAAAATGAAATCGAAGATCTTATTACTAATCATGTGAAAGAATATGTTTTGACTAATACATGATGATACAGATGTAAAGCTTAATAATAATTGATTTTTATTAAGTGCTTTTACAAAATACTGATCAGTGCCATGATAAAACAAAAACAAAAAGTTGATAGAGTGTAATTTTCGACACATACAAAAACTTCATTGACATGAGGTGACACTTACATGATTTCATGGTGATTTTTCAATTGATCTAGAATATAGTCTGTTCGCTTAGATCTGGTCCCACTCTTATCTGTGACAAATCACCATCTAAGACTAGTAGACATTCCATATCCTTAGACCTGTCCCTCTTTTTACCTGAATCCCTAAGGCTATGACCAAGGTCTAAGTCCATCACAGTGACTGGTATTTGTGGCCAATCACCACCTAGGTATAGAATACAGTCTAGTCCCTATAATCTGGTCTTGGTCTACTATCCAGTACAGGCTCTTGGACCTGGTCCTGGACTTATTCTTACCTGACATCCCTAAGGCTATCATCGAGGTCCAGGCCAACCACAGTGACAGGTATCTGAGATCCATCACCACTTAGCTGTTGACCGGTAGGATCAGCTGTAAAACAAAGGTCAAAGGTCGATAACAGGGGTCAAGTGATACAAGAAATTCTTTGAATTGGCTGCTACGTTAATGCACTTGAAACGTGTCAAATTTATTGATTGTTTGAAGCTACCTCACATACAGTTTACATGTTTAACTACACAACATTACACAAGATCAAACAATTCTCCCTCAACTAATTAATAGTTCCATCTACTGATAGATGAATTAACATTCAACAGTTGCACTTGCAAGATGGTTGTATTTTAAAACAAAACTAAAAGTAAATACATATATAGGCAACCTGCAATCTGGCTAATGAATTAAAATAACTAAAAATTTGTTCAAATGGTCTTGCAAAGCGTTAATAAACTTAAGCATACATACCTACAAACATACATACATATTGATATGTATATAGCGCCTTTACATAAGCATGCTCAAAGCGCTTTACATTAGTAAATAAAACGGACCAAGTATTTTGCTCTCCAAGCGCATACACTGTAAATTTGTTGTATAAAGCTGTGTAATTCAAAGTTGTGCACCACATTAACCAAGCCTGGTTCATACTAGTGAACAGGCCTTTTCTTTTGAAAGGATAAGCAAATGCAACAAGAAAGGATGAGTATATAAACATATACACAACGAGGATACAGGAACTAATAAGCATCCACTTACATTTCGTCTTTCCAAGCCTATTATGACCCTTTGACCTCTGCTCCTTGGACGCACTATTGACCCGACCGGAGAAGGTCAGCGACCTGCGCGGCTTCTTCGACCCTTGACCTTCAGAGTGTTTGGTCTTGGAGGCGGGGCTTGAGAGGGGGTCGAGGACCCGGGGTGTCTTGGGAGGGGCAGGGGTGCGGTTGGTGGAGGAGGGGAGGGGAGAGTTGCGGGAGGGGAGACGTAGGAGGCTGAGGGTCCTTGTATGAAGTCTGGAAAGAAAGAATTGTGGAAAATCAGCACTATGGAAAACTATTCATACTACTGAATACCCAATTGAAATTGTTCATTCAGTATGGTTAGGTGAAATTGAAATTGAAATATACTAAACAGGGTTTTGTAGAAATTTATATTATACCTCTTTAAAAAATAATTAACAAAGATTCAGGCAAAAAGAGTATTTTATAGATTAATTACAAAAACAGGTAATCATTTATGGATTGTATTTTCCAAATGAATTTTGTACATAAACTTTGGGGCAAATGAATGAGCCACATAAATTTACAAACAAAAAGTAATTTTCAATACAAATATTTTTCTACATTTTTGTCAGGTCAGTGGACTTTTGATTGGTAGTCGTATCACAAGATTTCGCATTCTTGAATGAAAGACTTGGGTGAATGTCAAACATTGTAGTGGATCATAGTCTAGTCTCCTCCAAGACTCTCCCACTGTATTCCTACCTCCCATTTTCTACTACCATGGGGGCAACTGAAGTTATACGACCCAACTCAGGTGAGTGAAGGAGAAGAGAGGAGGGATGGGAGATATACGAGGAGGAGGAGGAGGAAGAGAGGAAGAGATGGAGAGGGAAAAGAAAGGGAGGGACGGAGGAAGAGAGGGAGTGAGCCCTTTGTTCACTGCCACGGGGGCAACTGAAGTTATACGACCCAACTCAGGTGAGTGAAAGAGTAAGGAGGGATGGGAGATAGAGGAGGAGGAGGAGGAGAGGAGAGAGAAAAGAGAGAAAGAGAGAAAGAGAGAGAGAGAGGGAGAGAGAGAGAGAGAGAAACAAAGGGGGTGGGGAGGCACAGGGGTGGAGAGAGGACAGGGGAAAAGAGAAAAGAAGAAATAGACATCAAGAAGAAGAAGAAGGAGAAGGAGAAGGAGAAGGAAAAGAAGAAGAACAACAACAACAACAACAAGAACAACAAAAACAAGAACAAGAAGAACAAGAAGAACAAGAAGAAGAACAACAACAACAACAACAACAAAAACAAGAAAAAGAAGAAGAAGAAGAAGAAGAAGAAGAAGAAGAAGAGATGAAGAAGACTTACCCAGGGGTGAAGCGCCCGGCTTCGATGTCCTTCAACATCTGTTCCTCCTCCTGAAGTGTCTTATGGGCATCAGCAAATTTCTGCATCATCCGTTCTAAGACGAGACATGAATAAAATTAAACAGATCAAAAGGAAGGGTTAGTTTAAATACAAATGCACAACAGTCAGTAAACTATTCCTTTAAAGTTACTTGTCATTAAAGGGATCCGGTAACTTTGTCTCAGATTCTGAAACAAAATTCTGGATTTAGCTCATGCTGCAATGATAATTATTAAAATTTAGGTCAGTCGGGAACCCCATGTCTGATTATCAAGATATTTATGATTGGAAATCGAAATCAAATGTTATGTTTTCCTAACGTTTTTTATAACACAACAGTCTACTGGGGAAATTGAGTGTGGTAAAACCGGTCACTCAAAGTTGTTTTACTTTTTTGAGGCACTTCATGATCATTTTGAAGCGAAATTTTTTCAGGGCTTCAATATTACACCATATCACAGACACTGATAACACGTAGGGCCATGCATCTCAGATTTAACTTTGTTAAACGATGCCTTTAATACCAACATTACAGGTCAAACGGATAGACAGAGCAGGTTGAGATAGGAGGGTTGCAACACAGAGGTCACTTACTCCCAAGGCCATCGTGTGGTGGCGAGGTCGATGATGTCAGGCTGTGCACCCTGGTTTGGCGGGGGCTACGATCCTCCATGCGAGACGGGGGCTTGACGGGACTCAGCACCTCGGCATGCTTGCTGTCTGTGATCTCCATCCAGGCATCTACAGGTGACACAAGGACATAGGTCAAATTTCAAAGGTCAGGTCAAAGGACAAATCTTTTTTGTTGGGGGGGGGGGGGTATTTTTTTTTAACATAGAAGACGTTAGAAAAGAGAGGAATCAAGGGTTCATAAAGAAAATTTGAAGGCAATAAAAAAGAAGAATCCTTCCTCCAAAATAGGAATGGCTGTCAGCTCTGATAAATTCAATATGTGGGAACAAAATGATATTTAAATTGTATTATGTGGCGTCTGTTTCTTCAAGAACTTGGTACAAAGAGAGCCTACAAAAGATTTCTCTCGCATGTGACATCATGAACCTTGACGCTCTACGAAGGACCACTGAAGGCAGGAAATCTGGATCTCAATATTTACATTTTTGAGAGATGATTACTGCGGGCCCTATATTTTGAAGAGGGAAGTTGTTATGTTTGATCAGTAAGGCTTTTCCTTCGCAATGATATTAATTTTGCATCAATTCAAAACAATTTTGATTATTCGGGTGACTACCTTAAATGCTATGGGAGGGTCATCAATGCGGTTAAATGTCAACCTTAATCTACCAAATCTTACCTCTTAAAACAGATTTCATTCTCTTTGTCTTAGCCAGGTCTACAGCTGTGTTACCGCTATCATCTACAATAGTTATGTCAGCTCCGTGGTTCAGCAGGGTGTTGGCAACCTGAATTTGGCCAGCTTGTGACTGAAACAATAACCAAATGCAAAGGTCAAATCAGAGGGTTCAAAATGAGGTCAGGTCAAAGAGGTCAATTTAAGTACACAAGTATCATCCACACAGGTTCTATTAGCTCCATGTCTATTAAAGCCACACTGTACTACTAGTAGCTACTTGCTCCCTCTATATACAGGGGTGATAGTGAGCACTAAAAAAAAAATAGGTTTAGAGGAGGATTTGCGGGGAAAAAATGGCATCTAACAACAACAAGAGTAAGAAAATTTGGGAAAAAATAGGGCAAAATAGGGAAGAATAGAGAAAATAATGGAGGAATCAGGAAAATCAGGATAAAATAGGGAAGGGGAAAAAATCTGGTAAAATTTTTTTTTTTTTTAAATAAAAAAAAATCAAAAAAAATCAGAAAACCGATTTAAATCGGGTTTTTTATCAGGCCTGTACATAGAAAACTTCCCCAATCAGTGCCTGTTGGTCCCCCGTGATCCTCTTTTTCTTATGTTAGTTGAGAGCTGAGTTAATGAGATAGCCACCTGTCAGTGACCTTGCTGTGTGGTCTAATCAGAAGGGGGTAGAGAGGTTTGTAGTCGCACAAAATGTTTGTAAGATCCTGAATAGTGAAAAAAACAAATCTTACTAAGAATAACGAGTACTTATACAATAGGCTTGCGGTTGCACCATGTGAGAGAGTGTGTGTAGGACTGTTGGTGTAGTCTTGAAGAAGAAAAAAAAGTCTCCTGACGATGGATAGCCAACCTGTTCAAAACGTCAAGCCACTCCTACCACCCATCCTCTCCGAACTCTCAAGACTACACCAACAGTCCTTTTCAAGACTATACACACTCAAGAAAGAAAGATTACCAAGAGTCCTTTTCAGGACTCCCCAATCCCCCCCCCCCCCCCCTTTCTCACATGGTGAAACCGCAAGCCTACTGTATATCTACATCACCATGCAAGCCGATACTTATAAGCAGCATCTAACAAGTACTTTTTTTGAATATGTAAGCTCACCGAAACATGGAGGGGCGTAGAACCAGCATAACCCCTCGTGTTCACATCGACCCCGTGGTCTAAAAGCGCAATCACCACGTCAAGGCTCCCGCTCTTCGATGCAACGTGGATCGGCGCGACGGATCGGCCGTCACGAGAATTGGCCAACAGAGGGATCTGCATGAGCCTGATGGCGAGCTCGTCAGAGAGCTGAGAGTTGCCGGACGAGACGTAATGTAGGGCTGTGTGGCTCTCCCGGTCGGTTGCGATGGGGTCGGCTCGACGTCGGAGGAGCTCTTCGATGACGGCGAGAGGTTTGTATGACTCTAAAGCTGATCCAACTGAGGTGCAGAAACAATGGAAAGATAGATGTGTTAGATACTCAAACAGGCATGTATTGCAATATCATTTGTGGACCATTTATCAGCAGGTTATAACATAACAGCGACTGAAGAGCGGTATCATGTAAAGTATGAACCACTCCCAAAGATTCACAACCACAAGACTCTCTGGGGGGTGTTTCACAAAGATTCTAAGTCGAACTTAACTTTTGAGTTGGACTTAAAAATTACGGAGAGCCATTTGTAGCCTTAAAATATCTTCAAAAGCAAAAAGTCAAGTATTTTAGACTTTTTATAAATTCCACATCAAGAACATGCCATCTCCTTGATAATAGAAAATATAAATGAGTTGAATCAACATTTTATGCCTTTTAAAATAACTTTTACAAAATATATTCATCGATGCTAACGGCTTTCCATAAATATTAAGTCCAACTTAGAGATAAGTTCAACTTAGGATCTATGTGAAACACCCCCTGATTTTACAATAGGTACAAATATATTATAAATAACTCACCTATAAATCACTGTATATACGTGTATTGTCACAGACCTTTTTTTTTTTTTTTTAATACAAATGTATGCACATGCAAAACCAAATCTCAAATAGAATTCAACTCCACCTGAGTCAAAAAGTGAGTTTGGGTGAAAATGCGCAACTCCTCATCTACTGCCCACTGCACCGACCTCTACCATTGACCCCAGCATAGAGAGAGGATGGCAAGGGAAGGTACAAAGAACAGTAAATAAGGTAGTTAATCTCTGATGACATAAAATCACAATAAACCATTGCTCAGGTGATGTGAGGAACGGTCATCAGTATCTTGCAGACTTTTTTTTAATTATCTCCCTGTCTGTCTGCCTGTACGTCTCTCTCTCTCACTCTCTCTCTCTTTCTCTCTTCCTCCCTCTCTCTCTCCCTAATTTCCTTTCTCTCTCTCTCTCTCTCTCCCCTCCCTCCCTCCCTCCCCCTCTCTCTAATCATCTATCTATCTCTATCTCTTTTCCTCTCCCTCTCCCTCTCTCTCTCTCTCTCTCTCCCCCTCTCTCTCTCTCTCTCCCTCCCTCTCCCACCCCTCCCTCTCTCTCTCTAGTCATCTATCTATCTCTATCTATCTCTATCTCTATTCCTCTCTCTCTCTCTCCCTCTCTCTCTCTCCCCCTCCCTCCTTCACTCCCTCTAGTCATCTATATATCTCTATTCCCCTCTCCCTCTCTCTCTCTCTCTCTCTGGCCATACTTACTTGATTCAAATAGCTCCACATCTCGGGTGACCAGTAATAGAGGTGTGAACCCCTCAGCATTCCTACTTTCTCTCTCTCTCCCTCTCTCTCTCCCTCCCTCCCTCTCCCCTCCTCACTCCCTACATCTACCTGCCTCCCTCCCCTCCTCCCCCTCTCCCCTCTCTATAGTCAGCTATGTACATGGATCTATATATCTATCTCTATTCCTCTCTCTCTCTCTCTCTAAGGCCATACTTACTTGATTCAAATAGCTCCACATCTCTAGTAACTAGTAAGAGAGGTGTGAACCCCTCAGCATTCCTACAGTTAATGTCCAAGAGCTGACTTTCATTCTGCAAGATAAATGAAAAAGAAAGCTTAAAGGGGGTGTAGCATGGCAAATACCGGTTAATGCCATCTACGATTTCTTTTGGACAACTGCACGTAAACAAATGGACTTGATTAACGGTCAGAGCACGCTAGCGTTCGCGAAATAGGCCAAAATTCTCCTCATGCTTCGGTTTGGCGTATGTTGTAAATTATCAGCCATGTATCAACCTTTCACATGAGAAGTAGGTAAGGCTGGTTACATAATGCCAAGTGTCGTCACCATCACCAGAGGGGTGTTTCACAAAGACTATGATCGACTTTAAGTGGGACTTAACTATGGCAGGCCGTTAATGCCACTATTTTCTCTCATTATTTACTAATACTGGCATTGGTTTCTCAAGGAACGTACCAATCATGGTCACAAATCTACAGAATTTACATTTTTGGATAGCTCATAATTGAAGGAAAACAATTGTCTACAGATCATAATTGGGACACCAATGGTGAGAGCAACCAGTGGCATGAATGGCTGCCATAGTTAAGTCCAACTTCGATCTTAGTCTTTGTGAAACACTCCCCAGTAACATGTTACACTCACCAATAGCTGTCTAACGACCAGCACGTTCCCCTGCCAAGCCGCCTGCAGGAGGTGCCTTGGAGAGACACCCTTCCTCAGGACCGAGTCCAGGAGAAGCTTCCTGATCTGGGGATCCTCTGTCAGGTCCAGGACCGTCTCCGTGGCGGCGTTCCGCAGGGTCACGTCCGCTCCGTACTTGAGGAGGAGCCGGATGAGCTTGACGTGACGCGTCAGGACGGCCCACATGAGGGCAGTGTTCCCTGTTTCTCTATCTCTCGCATCAATGTTGACCACCTAGAATGATGTAAATCAGTGTAGAGAATTACAGAGTTTCCTAAATGTTAAAGCCCACTTTACTACCGGTACCATCACCCCCAGTCTACCACAACTTACCACTACCACGACTACTATCAAGACTCCTCATACTACTGCTACTCCTACTTTTACTACTACTACTACTACTACTACTACTACTACTTCTACTACGACTTCTATTACTCATATTTCAATACTTCTACCAATACTTCTACTACTATTACCAAAACCATTACAACTACCAGACTGTCACTAGCATCCCCCACCACTATCACTACCACTACCCCTTTTACTACCACTATTACTTTAAGTACCACAACCGCTACCAGTACCACTACCACTGCCACTACATTTACAACTAGCACCATCATTACCACTACTAACACCCGCCACCCCCACCACCACTACCACCCCTACAACTACTAATTATACTTCATACCTCATGGCTTCTTCTCTGCAGTATGTTCTCTACCCTGTCATAGTCTCCACTCCGCACCGCTGCAACAAACAGGCTATCGTTTTCCCCGGAGCCCTGGCCAGAGCTGAAGAGCTGCATGGTGAAGTCGTGGTAAGACTTCAGGAGTTTCTTGTTGCGGTGGGAGCCGGTGGAACCCGCACTGGACAGGGGGCTTGAACCAGAGACTCTACCCCGGTGGCCCTGGGGTTGGGTACCTGAAAAGACAGAGTTGAAAAGTTAGTTTATTCAAGAGTACTTTGGGAACTTAAGGTGCAATTTTCTTGGTGGAGACTATAACGTTCTTTTTTTTTCAGGGCAATTTTTAGATTTCAAGAAAGGCACATTGTACATCAATTTCATTTATTGTTGTGTGCTTTTCTTCCAATGCAACAGATATGTACAATGAAGACCTTTTGGTATCAGAGACTATGCTAACATGCTAGTAATACACTAATTGTAAAAATTTGGTATAATAATTAATTTATCAAGCATGTTATAACATTTTGTAATAACTTCTGTCTTTATGTTCACATGTCTCTCAATCAAAACTTATCCTGTCATAATTTATAATATTTTTGTTTTAAGCTACAGAAATTATGCTATACCGGTATTTAAAGATTGCAAGCCTTCCCTACATGTATCTCCTACAGTGTACATGTAGTCACTCTCCCCTCTCTATGTATTACATATTTAACCCTATCTCTTAACCAATATCTGCTCTTCTCCCTTCTACATGTACATCTCTCTCCCTCTCTCTCTCTCTTTTTTTCCTCTTCTTCTTCTTCTTCTTCTTCTTCTTCTTCTTCTTCTTCTTCTTCTTCTTTCTCCTCTTCTTCCTCCTCCTCCTCCTCCTTCTTTCCTACTTATTCATGTCTATCTCTCCTTTCCTCTTTTCCCCCGTCCTCTGTCCACCTCTGTGCCTCCCCTCCTCCCACCCACCACCCCCACCCCCCCCCCCTACTTTTTTTCTCTCCTCCTCCTCCTCTATCTCCTATCCCTCCTTACTCCTTCACTCACCTGAGTTGGGTCGTATAACTTCAGTTCCCCCATGGCAGTGGACAAAGGGCTCACTGCCTCTCTTCCTCCCTCCCTTTCTTTCCCCTCTCCATCTCTTTTTCACTCTCTATCTCTCTCTCTCCTCTTCCTTCTCCCTCTCTTGCTCTTTCCCTTTCTTTTCCCTCTACATCTCTCCATCTCTTCCTCTCTTCTTCCTCCTCCTCCTCCTCCTCCATCTCCCATCCCTTCTCTCTGCTCCTTCACTCACCTGAGTTAGGTCGGATAACTTCAGTTGCCCCCATGGCGGTGGACGGTGGGCGGTAGGAATACATTGGGGGAGTCTTGAAGGAGACTACATGTAGACCTGTTTATCATTGCCATGGTGACCTGTGATCACTCTGGAGGCTTATCACCTGCAGGGAAACACAATAATGCAATATTTCCATCAAATGTGGAACCAGCATCGATTACATATACCATCATATACACCTTCCAGTTCCACATAATCCATTGTGCATAAATATACAATGCATGCATGAATTTGTATGGACAATTCAATACATGTGATGTTTACAACATCTTTGTATGAAATATTTATGACATGGATTTCTTTTCAATTTGTGTTTGCATTTTATAAATGAGAGGAAACTTGTTAAAATATACAATGCATGCATGCATTTCTATGGACAATTTACATTTGATGTTTACAATATTTTTTTAATGAAATATTTATGACATGCATTTCTGTTCAATTCGTGTTTGCATTTAAATGAGGGGAAACTTGTTAAAATTTCCTTGTGGGGACATCTTAAAGGTTCATTCAAACATTTGGGGAGCTAAAAACAAAAACAGTAATATACCATGTTCTAGTTGTAACCCCTTTTTAAAGTGTTGACAATTAATATTTTACATTAAAGAATCCAATTAACAGAAGACAAAATAAAGAAACAATTAACTTTACACATACATGAAAAAGTAGTTTGCATTCTAATACTGTACACCTACATTTACATTTAGGCCTACTTCAGTATAAACACAAAGCGGTTCCCCCAAATATGTACAAATATATTAAAAGCAATAAAAAGTGCAGCACACGTACATGTACAGTACATACATGTACATGTACAATGATATACGATCTACATCATCCTCATAAATTGTGAATAATTTAGACACTTTTTCACTCATTAAATATTTTCTGATAAAAAACACAAGCCCTCTGGCCTACTCTGCACAGCGAACATGCTGCGACCATGGTAATGTGATATTGAAAAGAAATGCATGGAATTTCACCTATTTGCTAGCTACATGTAAATTATGGAATGTGTAAGTCAAAAATTCTTGGTACATTTTTTGCTATATTGTATGCAGCACGGCTCCATTCCAGAGTTATTCTATTTTGAACATTTATGATTGATTGTGTAAATGTGCAGTGTTTTAATACCGGTATACTTTAAATAAAGGTTGGTAATAGATCTCTCCCTTTAACCCTCTCTCTCCCTCGCTCTCTCTCTCTCTATCTCCCTCTCTCTATTTCTCTCTCTCTCTCTCCTCTATCTCTCTCTCTTTATCTTTCTTTTTCTCTCTCTCTCTCTCTCTCTCTTTTTTTTTTTTAGAACAGAACAATTATACTACCATGCAATTATATTTTCAGAACAGAATAAATATCAGCTTTTCTGACATTTTTATCTTGTAATAATATACATGTATGTAAGCCAATAGATTTTTGTAAAGACTTCCTTGTCGAAGTTTGATGAAACAGTTTCTTCTAAATGATGTTGGATTAGTGCAGCGCTGATACAAGTTCAGTGACTAATTCCCCTACATACAGTGTACATGTACATTGCACATGTATACGTGGAATACAATCTAGGTCTGATGGAAGACTAGCACAATGGGATGGGAAGTCAGAAGACCTCATCACAAAAGATGACAAAAGCCTTTGGTTTGTAAGCTAATCTAAATGACAATGGGGTATGAGTGTATTCTGAGCCCTATTCAATGTTTGCTAGTAAACAAAGACCTTCCAGCGAGCAGGGGGCTGTGTGCATCCCTACTAGCCAGCCAGGAGCACCTACCTGTACATCTAGTCTACAGGTTCAGACTCGATGTACATTGAGCATCTTTTAATCTTGCCAGACAGTCTTGAGCTGACCCTACATTACATGTAAAGTATGTATGAAGTAAGTTCCTGGCTGTGTTGAATACAAATAGCAGCTACTGCTATAACACAGAGCCTATGTAGAGCATTAGACAGTGAAGTCTACATGCAGTCTTTCAGTCCAGACCCAGTATTGTGTCTGCAAGACAGACTACACCCAGCACTACAGCAAGTAACTCCGAAGGACAATTATGGGTACTGGGTAGCCTTTAGGAGATGAGCAAATATTTAGATGCAGGACTTGTGTACATTTGGACTGTTAGTGTCCCTTTAAAAATTAACACCAACTATTTAAAATTAAAAGGCATGTACCTGTTTGATGTACAGTGTAGACCTACTTGTGATACCGGACAAAATGTTTATGGATCATTGGTTGAATATACATGTACGCATGATTTCGTCATGACTGCTGTATTCAATGAACCAATGAGCATCCCCAAATTGCTGATGTGAGATGCTTGTGGGATACTTTACAGGACAGAATGTGCATTTTACCATGTAATCTGATGTAATTGTCCAGAATTGACTTCCAACAAAAACACACACATTTTTTTTAAAATAATCTCTTTCCCTTTTTCTTGGGGCACTTTGCCACCCTACCCTTCCCCCCCCCCCCTTTGTTTAATATCTCTTGATATTATTTGTCCCATTATTGTCCAAATGTCACTAATTTTTCAGACTTCAGGATCAATTCTCCTTTAATAAGCATGACCATTACTATTAGCAATATATGCCTTTAATACAGAATATCATCATCAGTTTATAGCCTTATCAGATTTCACAAATATTTGATACCAGATAACATCTCCCACAGAGAACACATGGATTGAAAGAACAGAAGGTCTATACAGCAGGGTACACAAATGAAGACTGAAACTAAAAATGCACGGTACAGAATTCCTGTTGGAAAGGAATTGAGTTCTGAAACTGTTTTAAAACAAGATTCATATACTGTTTGAACAGTAGCCTAAAGTGAAAAGGAATAAATATTTTCACATCATTTTTATATCTAGAAATGATGCAAATACAAATAATATATTCAACCTGGTGTTATAATTATAAATGGCACTTTTTACTGAACCCTTATTATGTTCCGTGAACTCTCCTCCTACCCCACCCACCCCCCACCCCCCAAAAAAAAAAATCATAACCTCTCTTTCTCTCTCTGTCTCTCTCTCTCTCTTTCTCCCTTTCTCTGTCTCATCTCACTAGATTTGTACAGTGAACATGTCAATGTTTAAAAGAAAAGAAGATAATCATCATTACATGCATCTTTTATGTACAATAAGATAATTAAGCCATGTATCTTCGGCTTTACATACATGTATAGCAAAACAAATTCAATATATAATTCCTTTACTTGTATAAGTACCTTGCAATTTGCATTTTCACATTGTAAGTTGCACCAAAGGTCATGTTCGGCAAGTCGTATTTCAAGATCTCCAGTCTAATGCAAGCTCAAGTATATCAAACAATATATTCTCTCCTCTGTTCAGATAGTAAGAGTCCAAAAGGTGTATATATTCCACAGCTTATATGTTCTTCACTATGTCTCCATTATATCCAGGTCTATCAAATATTATCAAACTCCAGTCTCCTCTTTCATATGATAAAGTTCACAATCACATCAAATATATATTCCAGCTAACAATGTTCTCCACTATATTTGTAGTAGGTCCATGGCCGCTTCCCAGAAAGTATCAATAATATCATACAAGGGTACACTCCTCCTTACAGATCATCAGATGGTATAAACCCAAGTGAAGTTGTGAACTACATACTGTATATACATTTACATGTTAAAGCCAGTTTATTCTTTAGTTTTTAACAATGGAGCTCCATTCAGAGCTAGAGTTCAACTTCAATGCATCTGCACTGTACTTGTAGGCCTATCTATAGTCTACTCTATAGATCCAAAGTATAAAAATTGCACACATTGCCCAATCAATTCATATCTACATGTAGCCGCCTCAGGCTCAGAGCCGACAAACAAAGACACGTGGAACACCCAGCACATGCCTGGTAGAGAGAGAGGGAGGGAGGGAGGGAGAGAGAGAGAGAGAGAGAGAGAGGGAGGAGAGAAAGAGAGAGGAGAGGGGGAGAGACAGAGAGACAGACGGAAAGAGAGAGAGAGAGAGAGAGAGAGAGAGATAGCAGATGCATGTCTGGTAGGCGCAGATATGAATATTCAGGATTAATTGGACCGGCTTAATGCTGTCCCACCGGATGCTAGTATCCCATTTCATCCAGACTGAAAGCAATTAGCACTGAGAGAGAGAGAAAGAGAAAGAGAGGATGCACGACTGCTTGGCAAAGATATGAATATTCACTATTCAAGATTGATTGGACAGTCCCACCGGATGCTAAGGATCCCGTTACATTCAGAGAGACAGAGACAGAGAGCAGCAATTAGCTCTGGGAGAAAAAGGATGAAAGCCATGATGAGTTGGGGAGAGACAGAGAGAGAGAGAGAGATATAAATATTCAAGATTTATTGGATAGGCTCGCTGTTGTCCCAACAGATGCTTGGTATCCTGTTACATTCACAGACTGAGAGCAAATTTGGCACTGGGAGAGGGTGAAAGAGAGAGACAGAGAGAGAGAGAGACAGAGAGAGACAGAGAGAGAGAAGAGAAATGGGAGCCACGGGGAGAGAGATGAATTCTGAAAGATGGATAAAAACAAGAGTAAGGGAAAAGAATGATTTCAAAAGATATCCATGAAGACATACTTGTAGGGCAGGGACTTGCATTTTTTTTTTTTTTTACTTTGTAGGTCTAGAGCAAGACAGATTTGTTTGTTGGTTTTTATCCAATAAAACGCTTTTCTCTTCTTTCTTTTTTATCTTTTGCCTTTTTGTTTAAAGAGTGGTAAATGTACATAAATGAGAGAGGTAGCAAGAGAAGAGAGGAGAGGCAGGAAAAGTAGAAAGAGAGAGAGAAAGAAAGAGGGAGAGAGAGAGAGAGAGGGAAGAGAGAAAGAGAGAGAGAAAGGGGACAGCAAGAGAGAGAGTGGGTAGACTGTAGAGAAGGACAGAGGGGCATATTTTGGTATTAGTAAGGAAGCAATCACCATCTGGTGAGTGATCAATGGGAGACAGATGGACAATACACAGACACACCATCTCATTAGCATAGATGCATGATCAATGATAGTCTGGTATGAACCAGACCCAGCTGAAATCAATTACATGTACAGTATGTCTCATAAAACAAAGATGCATGCTCTGAACCATTAACCCTTACTGTACTG